TTTATTGCCTAGACGTTCGTAGTGACACACATGTATAACAGCAGCACACGGCTCGGTGTATATGTTCATGGGTGCATTTTGACTGTGTGTTTCCCGAAAAGAGCACGATCGTGCGGCTATTGTTTTCTGATATTTTTTCCTTATTAGAAAGGACTTGTACCTATATACGTTGCGGATAAAATGTAAAATTGTCCTTTCTTCGACTCCGGTGTGCGGTGGTATTCGATTTAGAATTCAATTATTAATCGCACGAAATATTCGGTCGAACCAAAAAACTTTATTATATTCACGAAAACTCAAATGCGTCGATCAAGAAAGTTAAAAAAATGATTATTATTACAAAAATTTATCCCCCAAACGCAAAAATGAACGTTGAAAAATATCCGTTAGAAAACCGTCTCTTAATTGGCTGGCAAAAGTTCTGCTCGTAAAAAAGCTGCCAAGAATTCGTCTGATATGAAAGCGACAGTAATTTCACTCGAGGTTTTATTTTGAATCGGATTCTTGCAGAGAACATAAAAAAAACTCCTCGTTTCCCCTAAAATATTATTAGGTAATGACTTTTCCTCTCGAAAACTAGGGAAAAAATTATCGTTCGAGTTACATCTAAAATACGAAAAGTATGCGCAGTTTTGATTCATTAGTTTGAAAAAAAAAAAAAATGTCTCGACTCCGAGACAGAGGAAGATCTCGCGCGATTCGAAGCCTTCGGAAATGAAAACCCTCAATTACCGTATACACAAAACATCGGTAGCGGCAGAAGCGGCAGCAGACAGTAACCGGATGCGTCTTTGAACTGTTCTGCTTTGAGCTTCCCGACCTGTCATGCATTTTTTTTTTTTTTTTTTTGATAAAAGATGACAAAGAGAAAGTGTACTTACGCTTTTATTGACTGTTAATTTTATATCGCTAATTTATGAACGAAGTGCGATTGCGGTGGGTTAATCGAGAGTCAATATTCCAAAAAATACCGTTGACCGAGAAAAAAAAGTCTTCAAATACACTAATAACGAACCATCGATCATAGGAAATCCCAATTTTTTTTTATATCTCAACACCATGTAACAACCCAACAATCGATAAAGTTTCGAGGTTAGCGGACGCGTCGCACCAGCAAAACAATGCGTGTTTAAATTCGATTCATCAATATTGGGTTAGTAAGATCGAAGGAAAAAGTGAGCCTATAATTGGCAATTTGCGTATATTATTCATTGCCAGGTAGCAGCAATGCACATAAGTATACACACACACACACAATGTATGTTGAATCCGGTTCACTGGGTTGATGCTTTTTGGCTTGAACTCTTCATCGAGCTCGATGGAAAGTTGTTGAGCGCAGCAGCACGTGATCTGCCTTTTCGCAGCTCATACATTATTTCCCTACCTAAGGCACACACACACGTTCCAGGAGAATACGTTATTCGAAAATTTTGTATATAGTTCACGGTTCCGAGATTACGCAGTTGAAATGAAATTACACACACTCGTATGAGCGCAAATCGATCGCTGTACTAAGGAATTTGATGATATCATTATATACTCATATGCCAATTGCGCTCGCTAAACCGTTATGAAGTTTCTCCCATGACGACGATCCGCGCGCGGATATTATAATTTTTGTCGGGAATTCGGCAAGCAAAACATGCAGCGGCACACGTACAGGACGACGATGTTTGCATTGTCAACAAAGGAGCCACAAGGAGGCGGAAGTTTTGAATTTGATTCGAGCCATTCAAATTGCGATCTGGAACGAATCACTGTCTCGGAGACCTAATTTCTATATATCCATATATCGCTCGTATGTATGATATATATAATAAAATATCGCGCGTTGACAGGATCGCGGCGCTTTCGTTTCATTCAAGTGAGATGATGAATTCGATACGATTAAAGTCTAAAACGACGACGACGACGACGACTACTCGAATTAATATTTATAAAGCGAATCGTGCGAATAAACATTGCAACGGATTAGTTTTCTCTTGACACAGACGCACATATCCTTGATGCGCCAATACATTTCTATTTCTGTCGTATATATAAGCTGTGTGTAAGTGTGTAAGTGCACCATTTGCAGGAAACTGTTGCAGCGGAGAGAAAACTCGCGCAGTACCGCGCGCAGGATTGTCGTTTTCCTTTTTCCACGGGACGCCTCTTCGCGTAAATAACGCCGCAGAGAGAGAGAGAGATAGACGAGCAATATATTTCATGCAACGTTATGTCCGTCGCTGCCTAGTGTACGATCGGTAATTTTACAAAAGCAGCTCTTCGGCGAGCGATTTATATGCTTTATGAAGTTTTCGCGCGTAACAGCTAGCTCTCGCTCGCGAGCACGAGGTGACCTCGCGCCGGGAATATAACAAAGTGGAAATCGCAATTTTTGACGAAGAGAGAGAGAAGCGACTGTCGATGGTATTTTATTGCTCTGTAATGTAATGATCAGGAACTAATTTTCATGTCCTTGCATGATTAATACGTTTCAATGACTCAAAATAAATAGGTGTACAAAGAGTCTTCGTAGAGCAGCGCTGAATTTGTAACAAAGGTACGATACTCTATTTTACCGTAGGAAGTCTTATTTTACCTTCGTTTGGTAAAACAGTATTACCAACAATTGGTACATTTAAATTAACAATGTATGATTATAAACTCTGCAAAATAAATTTTTATGCATTTAAATATTATAAAAATCTTGAATGAATTTTTTTCATTCAATTCGACATAAAAATTTTAAATATTCATTTATTCAGTTTTGTTCAAGTCATCATACAATGTAACACTTGTTGTTTCTTGCTTGTACGATGTTTCAATATTGAATCATTGGATCGACGCGGTCCATTGCGACTAATATATTAATACGACGGGGAGACAAAAATCATAATGGGGAAAGAGCGAGAGGTGAGATCGAGACAGGAAGGAAGCGCGCGGGTGGGCGATAGATCGAATGATTGCAGAAAAAAAAAAAGACAACAACAGCATTTGATGGACACTTAAAAGTATTTGAAGCCACTCCGATCGGCAGATCGGACAACTAGAGTTTAACTGCATCAAGCTCTAATATAACAATGATTTATTCTCCCTGTATTATAAACGAGTATCATAAACTAGTCGATCGAATATAAACTGCAAATAATGAGTTACTGCCCAACTTTGTACTTCGAAACTGTTGATTTGCCTTGTTGACTTGACGTTTATCTGCATCGAAACTTATTATATTTTATCTATCAGTTTATTATACCATTTATTTTAATACTCAATTTTAACCCGATCTTTCTCTCAATATGAATTAAAAACGCAATATCAAAAAGATGGCATATTAAAACAGTACTAAATAAAATGTTAAAAGCTCAAGTGCAGCCCAAGTAGAAATTCTCAATAATGGTCTAATGACCAAACGATGAATGTTTCAAATGATTTAAATATGCATCATTAATTTTTGATAATTTTTTCATTACAATCGCTTTAGAAAAACGTAGATTTAAAATTACATGAAAATAGCAATTCAATTGATTCAAAAACTCTAAACCAATTTTACCTTAGCCTTCACCGCCAGATGGCGAGCATTAATATTTGTAAATCTGCAAGTGGCAAAGTAAACATAATTGTATAAGTCAAAGCACGATTTGAAAAATAGTTATCAGGGGAAGTGATCTGACATCGGCCACTCGATTAATTGTTCTCAAACGAGACATAAAATGTTGAGCATTTCGGGGAGTTTTAAACTTTAATATCAGTTATATTTCAGTTTGTGCTTTATACCCAGACTTTTCAATCCCACTCGAGTTTAACAAAGAGAAATTTATCAACTCGAAAACGAGCGCAGTGAATTACAAATTATGTTTTGATGTATTTCCTAACGTCTCGTTCGCGTACAGATTGAAACGCAAACGAAAACATCCAAATCTGCGAGATGAAAAAGAAAATATACAAACTACTGAGCTCGTCGTATTATAATTGGAATGCCACCAGATGCGCGCGAGAGCGCGAATTTATTCATGCGCTTCCTGCAAAATTTTCTTCTTGATTTATTAATAGCCCTGATATGAGTTCTGATTTGGTTCGGCTCCAAGCTCCCATTGTTACTCGTCGCTAAAACGATCTATATAATTTCGATCCTTGTATTATCAATTAGCTCGATATAGATCGATATTTTTACTCGACCGCGCGTACGCTACAATTTCGATCGAGAGACGCACGCGAGATGAAATCCATATATTTATACTTCTAAACAATGCAGGAGCTCGTCGATCGATCCGATGATATAAGCGCGTACGTATACGCACGAATTCGCGTACGCGCTCGAGACACGTGTAATTACAGGAAAGAATACGAGTCGCGTTTACGCGTCTATATGCGAGAGCACGCGAATTATGCGCCGCGTCGAGGGAACCTAAATGCGATCTCGCGCTGAGTGCGTATATTATTGTTAGCGCGCGCGCAATTGCGCTATATATACTACTACAACTACTATATGTGCTCGCAGCTGGGCCGAGGCTCGGCTAATATATAAATCGTTGCAAGCGCGCGGGCCGCGTTAAGCAGAATTATCATCGCCTATGAAATTATAAATGTCCATTACAGAACGTGCACTCGGGCGCGCACACACATACACACACATTTATGCCTGTGATGCCACGATGACGTGTACTCGGTGGTCGGCGGCGATGGCAGGCGATGCACACGATATTCGCCACGATCGAAGTTGATTATGCGAACGCATCTATACGAGCAGTTCTATAAAAAATATTTGAAATTATGGTTGGTTGACGCGTGTAATGGATGTTTACGATCTTGCTCATTGAGATCACAGAAGTATGGGGAAATGCGTGAACAACTTGAATTGTTTTTCAGGCGATGGAAAAGCACGCTCTCGCGTTAGTAATATCGGTGGGTATCAAACAATTGAAAAAAAAAATCCACGAATTTTTTTCGGAATTTTTTGGAAAATTTGAGGAATTTGGGATATGGGTCGGGTTTTGAAAAAATTCAAAATATAGAGAAAAATTTAGGCTTTATTCAGTTTATAAGTAAATTTATAAAGGATGAAACTCATTACAATTGTGACAAAATAATTGAAAGTTGGAAATGCTCTGAAGTTTTTCACAAAATCAACAGACAAATACTTTTTTTAACATCTTTTAAATTTTACGATAATTATGTAAATGAACATTTACAGGTTCCAAATCTTTCTAGAACTATTTCACCATTTTGATGATTTGTAACGATTAATTAAAAACTTTACGTGAGTTTTGTTTTTTACTTTTTCGTTCGAATGATTTTTGACAAATATCGAATTCGAAGCGTGTACTGCGATCATTTACTGTATTCGCGTGCATTTTAAGTTTACGCCGGTATCCACATGATTTGCATTTATGTGAGCCTTGAGGTGACATTTTTGTCCAAATGATTTATGGCAAATCTCACATTCAAAGGGTTTGCAACGACCATGTACTGAATTTATATGACTTGTTAAGTTATCTTTGCGGTTAAATGATTTGTGACAACTTTCACATTCGAAGGATTTACTGCGATCATGTACTGTATTCACGTGCCTTTTGAGTTTATTCTGGTATGCAAATGATTTGTGACAAATCTTACACTCAAAGAGCTTAATACAATTATGTACTCCGTTTATATGATGTTTGAGGTTACTTTGGTATCCAAATGATTTGTGACAAATCTCACATTCAAAGAGTTTGCTACGAACATGTACAGTCAATATATGAGTTTTAAGATGACTTTGGTATCCAAATGATTTGTGGCAAATATCGCATTCGAAGGGTTCGTTCCGATTATGTACTGCATCTATGTGTTTTTCAAGAACATACTTGTAACCAAACGATTTGTAACAAATCTTGCATTCAAAGGGTTTTCTACCTGCATGAACTTCACTTATGTGCCTATTAAGATTTTTCGAGTATGCAAATGATTTATGGCAAATATCACATTCGAATGGTTTTCTACCTTCATGAACTCCACTTATGTGCCTATTTAGATCTTTCGAGTATGCAAATGAATTATGACAAATATCACATTTATACGGTCTGATTCTTTCAAGAATCGTAGTCTTATGTTTCAAACTTGCTATCGATGTAGACGTATTTTTACACATTTTTGACGCATGCAATGATTTTGTTTCAACAGTCTTTTCAAAACTTTTAACCTTCGAATATACGGCAACTTTTGAACAAGATGTCACTTGAAAAAGAGAATTATTATCGTAATTAAATCCTTTCTCTTTCAAAATAATGAGCTTTTCCTCACTCATGGAATTCGGCAGTATTTCGTTTTCTTTTTTCACACTAGCTTGAGGACTTTGGTACTCAGATTTGCAGGTGGTTGCCGATGGAGATTTCAGTTCAAGTTTAACATCTTTGAACTCACACTCGATGAATATGTTTCCATCTAAGTTTTCCTGTAACTGTATAACCTCATTTATATGATTGATCTAAAATTCAAACTGTGCAATAGTTTTTGATAATGATTCAACTCACCGATAGTTCATTAGACGTTTCAAAGTTTTCTGCTTTACAAGAGTTCACTAGATTGAAATTGTAATCATCGCCTGCATTCGTCCAAGTATCGCTCGGCTCTTCTTTCACCCTGAAGAAAAATCCAGTTGTACGAGAGATCGTAAACAAATTATTACAGCAGTATAGTACAAGAAAAATTATACCTAACTACGTCTTTATCGCTATCCATTACTCTTTGATTATAAGTATTCACTTCAATTGTTCCTGACACGCACTGAAAAAATAGTTTTTGAGGTTATATTGCTCCAGTAGCCAAGACTGTACCTCAATTTCCCTCAAACACTTTTACGAATGTAATTTTGTAAACAACTTGCTCATCGAGCAACTTAGTTCCCTCGACAATTAAAAAAGGCGTTGCACAATATTTACAAGGACTTAAAACTCAGCTCCGCACTGGCGAGCAAACGCTTTTTTTTACAGGTTAATTAAGGTACCTCGTGGTTGCTATCGTTCGTTGGCGAAACTATCTCCCTCTGCCGTCCTCATACTCGGCTATGGTGCAAGATGTTAGTTATGAGCTCCAATTCAAAATTCGAAGCTAAAATCACGATTGAAATTATTTTCTTTGCGCACTCGTAGTAGGTGTTGACAATTGTTTTTTGAGACTCCGAAATTAGGGAAAAAGTGTAAACTTCAAAAATTCATACGTCTACAGCTAATGTGGAATCTAAGAGAATTAAAAATAACATTTCCCCGTGAATATGACTACTAAATCCGGGTTTGATATTGTTGAAATCATTCCAAAATTTCTTACAGCTTTTGGACACTTAAAAAAAAGATATAAAAAATAAAAATGTAAACGCTATAACTGTAGTCCATTTCTAAACCGTTTATTCGTTGAAAATCGTTCAAAGAATACGATAAATCGATCGAAATGCTTTAGTACCGATCGCTCATCGGCAAGCATCGACTTACACATTGTAAGCTCGAGATTTCGTACCTTTTTTCGAGCCAGAAATTTCTGGATGACTGACCAGAAACTTAACGATACATATTATACGAGTACAGAAGCGACGATCGTCACCGTCAAGGGTCGACAACGACGACGACGACTATTAATTTAAACGATCATCGCAAGCACCGCATCGGACACGCAGCCGAGTGAGAGCGATGATCTTCTTGGCAGCAGCAAAAAAAAAAGAGCATGAACGACTATATGTACTCCGCTCTCGCCCCCAAACAATTCGCACGCACCATCAACAATGATCAGACGGACAGGCGTGTATATAGCAATTGCGCTCGCTCCGACGTCGAATTGCGAGCGTACGCGTAAGGCGCTCTGCTGCCGCTGCCTCTCGTACATACACTACCGATTCGCCGCTTTGCCGCTCGTTTCGTGTACAACATTCGAGGTGGCTCGCCGGGCTGCGACTCCGTCACTCGGTTAGTCGGTCGTCTTATTTCTCGCCTCGCGCATCGGAACTTGCGTTGCTCATACTCGCGCCGCGTGTACAGTGCATGTGTGTGCGCGCGACTTTTTTTCGCGATCGTCGTCGTTGAATCAAAAGTGCAGCGGTGTTAGTTGTATTGCATTGCGCTCAGCAGTAGTGGTAGTAGTGTATGGCCATGCCGAGCGTCCGCGAGACTGCCAGGCGTCGTCGTCGTCGTCTCTACGTCGTCCGCGAGCAGCAGCAGTCGTCGATTCGAGAGCTCGTGTGTACCGAGACGTTGTTACACGACACGCGCGAGTTATAGACGCGAGTGTATAGTGCGCAAGTGCAGCAGCGTCGAGAGCACGGATTATTACATACGCGGCATCATCGTCATTGTTCATCGTCGTCGTGTACACAAATGTGTGATATATAGACGTCTCGCGAGCCATTGATGCATAATATCGTGGCGCACACAGCACAGCACGTGGTGGATGCCCGCTATATACTCTAGACTCGTGCATATCCGTTCGATTGGTACGTCTCTCTCAGCTATGTATACATAATAGAAAGAAAAAAAATAACGTTATCACGAAGCTTCGAGCCTCGAATTGCATTTTTTTTTCTTCTTTTTCTTTGACTTTTCGAGAATATAAAGCGCCGATACACGCGACGTACGTACATACTACTGCGCTTATACTTACGCGCTCGTGCACAAAAAAAGCAACAAAACAATTCTGAAATAATTCTAAAAATACCCAGTCTAATATACTTTTTTTTGTACGCGTATATATTATATTTTGCTGCGGGTCTCGCGAGCTCGCGTAGCGCTTTTCACAGCAGTGGAACGAAGTTTTGTAGAAAAGTTTTTCGAGGTGAGGCGGCAGCGAGATTGAACATGCTACACACGTATTTATAAAGTGTAATATAAACACGAGACGAGTGAGAATTTTACACATGCGTGTGTTTGTGCGTATGCAGTCACCGACGAAATATTTATGTACAATAATGTTTCTTTGTCGGGCGAGTTCCGTATTTCCTTGCCTCTTTGGAGTTAAATTTATCAACCGATCGTGTGTCCGTGTACAGCAGGGCATCGCGCAGCAGAGACCAAGATTAGATATATCGTATAGCCTATGCCATACACATTTTGTCAGTTACATCGCTAATCTTTTTTTTTTGCGGAACGAATCACACCTTCGTGCGTATAAATTTGCTCTTGAACTAGATCGGTGCGTGTATTTTCGATTTGGTAAACGATCGATCGAACACGAACCGTTCGCGACAAAGTACTAAAAAGCCAAAGTATCTTTTCATACCTACATATAGACGATAACGATAACATCCACGCGGAATCATTTTTACACGCGCGCCGTGCGAGCGAATCTCGCTTCAAACAAACGTCACACAAGCGCGTTCGTATACGAGTTCTTCTGAATCGTACGTCACCCACACGCACAAGGCGCGTATTATTATGCGCTCGTAGGTACCTTAACAACGATATATTCGAAGCACGAGAGCGACTCGTGATTTTTTTTTTTTCGCTGGCTTAATTCGTAAGCGCGTGCAATTTACCCGGTATTACGAGTGAAGCTGCAGAGAGAGAGAGAGAAAGAGAGCGGAGAAGCTCGTACGCGATCGAGTACATTTTGTATTTTTGCCAGTGTTGACAAGCCAAATCTTGTGTATGTCGAAAGAGATAAGAGGAAAAAAAAAATATCGCAATTTTCACCGGATTTCGTTGAAGAGCCCCGAAGGGCACGCATACATCGTATCTAGGTTACATCGAGGAGCCTCCGCGCGCGAGGTGTTAAGTCGAAATTTACCCCGGGTTAGCCCGAAATGGGTCATGGTTCCTCCGCGCGATTCGGTGTTTATTAATTTCGTTAGAGCATTGATACGATCGCGGCCGCATCAGCTGTGTTATCTGCGCGCGTGTGTGTTAATAATAATGTTGAGCTGCTGAGGTCGCGGTGTTTTGAAGCGTGCGTGCAGTGTGTATCAGCAGTATACTCGCCGAACTCGAGCTTTCGATTCGAGTTCGTAAACAAAAAACAAAAAAAAAAAAAAAAACGAACGAAGAAAAAATCGCGCACGTGCGTTTTAAATATAACCCACACATACACACGCGCGTCGATCGCTCGAAATCAAGTTCAATGATTGTTTCTTTCCCGATTGTTATTACCCGCGCGCCCGTAAATACTCTTTGATCTTTTTCCAATTTTTTTTTTTTTTTCGTTGCGTACGTCTGAGAGCCGCGTGTAATCGAGCGCGATTAATAAAAGCCGAGACTCGAGTGCGGCGGAACAGTGTGTGTGTGTGCGTATATCGTAAAATATTTAAGTCGTTACGTCGATTCGAGAGAAACACACACACAATGGCAATATTATTTCCTACCGATCGGCTTTCGTCGAGTACGTGAGTTACGTTGCGGCGATTATCATTATCTGTAATAATAAGGTAAACAAATAGAAAAATTACAAAAAAATAAATGAAACTATCGGCTTTTTTTTCTTTTTGTTTAACGAGACGTTGAATTGAAAAATGAGCAGGAAAAGCGTACGAGCGCCGTTTGTGTATTTTGAATTATTGTGCTCTTCGAGTGTCACGTTTTATTTTCATTCATATCATTCCTTGTATATTTTGTTCGCGCTCGATTGTATTGACACTCGAATACGTTTATAATTAATCGTTGTCGGTTTTTGAAAATTCTTTTTCGCAGTCATTCGTATAAATGAACTTTGTGCCCAGATAAAAATGTGTCCTACATCATTAATTGGCTGGTTTATTGCCGTTTTCTGTAACAATAGCGATACCAATAATCGGTGCATCTAAAACGACCTGAAATATAGACAGGTTTTCAACCACTATATTTACGGTAATTCTACTTTCATCGTCCACCGTTAGATGGCAAGCACCATTATTTACAAATCCGCAAGTGGCAAAGTCAAAATAATCGTATACATAGCAGAATAATTTTAAATGAAGATTGTCATATTTCATGGTGTTAATTTCATGATTTACTTGAATTTTATGATTTAACATACTCAAAAAATTAAATGCAAAAAATTTGTTGGGGTATTAAATGGTCATAAAACGGTCAAAAAAACGTTGCGTCAAAAATTAGACACAAAGTTGTAGAGTGCATTCGATTCAATAAAACTAACGCAAGAGTTACGCCGTAGGTGTGATTTAAATGCATAACGTTCGTGCTTTTCAAGAAACATCTCTTCAGGCGTCCTATATGCTACGTAGATTGAACTTGGAATTCTTCGGTTCATTCAATAGTTTTTTTTTTTTTAATTTTTTTTTTTTTTGTAATAATTATAATATCTTAATTTATATAAATTTCAAACAACATTTACTTTAAAAGCAGATTAATTAATTAGTCCGTTAAAACCTCATCATTAGCAGCGACTCAATGAACTATAAAAAAAAATCGAATGAAAAAATATGAAATACATCAGTGCAAAAATTATCTAGCGTAATATATACTCTTTATAACGGCAGATAAGATTGGCAGATAAGAGGCTCGCAACTTTTGACCCTTATCGATTTGCATCGTCTTTTCATCTTGCCGCGTGCGCTCGAAAATCCTTGAAATTGAAAGATAACGATTTAACTTTTCCACAAACTTATACGTACGTCGAAAAATCACTGAATCTAAAATAATTTGATCGCAACGCCAGATTAGCTTGCTTCGGAGATGCCAGATATATAAATATGACAATATTATCTGGCTTGTTTACTCTTTTGAATGTAATAAGCGCATATTGTTCTTTTTTAAATCGATCGGAATTAAGTGGGTATTTATTATGATTCAGGCGCGCGCAGTACGAAAATATCAGCTGCACGCGTTCGCGGGGTATTAGACGGTTATAATCGCATATCGGGTCGTTAGCGGTCTTATATTGACGATATATTCATCATTATACCATGATCACGTCTGCTCAATTTACACTTGTCTCTCTCTCTCTCTCTCTCTCTCTCTCTCTGGCATGCGTCGCTCGACGAGGATCATTCGCGGTTGCGGCGCATTGCATCGCATCAATTAAGCCGAATAGAGATGTTCATTATGCAATTATAGCGAGACACATGATTTTTTGTCTTTCTTATTTTAACGCCCCCTCGCTGTTGTAACGATCTCAATTATCTCGAATTACACGTTCAGGTAAGCCTGCTCATAGCCATGGTAGTACAGCATGGAGCCCGTGCCATCGTCCAATGAGAGAAACAAAGACAACGACGACGCCGAAGCCCCGAAGGAACTCCAGTGCCGATCTCTGCCGATTTCCGCGCCCAGCTCCGTACCGGACTCGCCCGCGTCGACGCGCTCGAGCAAGCTCGTGGTACCGCACAGAAAGCTCAGACGTCACCACAGCTATCAGCACCACCATGGCAGAAGAGCTGCGCGCGAAAAAAATGGCAGCGGCAGCAGTAGCCCGCTCATACCGATCGGTAGCGGCAGCGGTAATATCGGTAAGGCCAGAATCGTTGCCGCGCCGTCGAAAGCTCATCGTCATCCTCGTTCCTCGATGAGAAAGATGAGCACGATGCTGGAGGAGGAGGATTACTACAGCTCGGACGACGAGGACGACGGCGACGACGAGGACGTGGACAACGACGGTCCGCACAGGTAAGATACAACGACTCGAAAACTCCTATTTTTAATAGTCACGATTACACTTGGACGAATTGCAGCGCTATCAGCGCGGCGAGCAGCAACGCCAGTCAGGTGGAGAACAACGGCGACTCGGACTCGACCTTCGAGGAGCGCAGCTCGCTGCTGCTCGAGGGCGACGGAGGATCGGTGCGCACGAGCAGCACCGCCCGCTACCCGATCGTCCCGGAGTCGCATCCACAGATGTTTCATCATCATCATCATCAGCGGAGAATAAACAGCAGCAGCCGACACTCGTTAACGAAAGCTCCTCCTCGCTGCTGCTGCTCGGAACTGCTGCTGCTGAACTCGAGCGTCGACAGTTTTCAGCAGCGTCCGGTTGCGGGGGCGCGCCAATTACAGCATCATCGTCACTGTCATCGTCACAATAATAATAATAATAATAATAATAATAACAATAACAACAATAATATCAACGCAGTGGTACCACACGCGGCAGCCGTAACGGAGGCAGCAGCAGCAGCAGCAGCCACTCAGCCAGCGAGCGCCGGCGCGTCGAGGCACAGTAGCCGACACCCCAGCATGCGCTCGCTCAAGTCCAGCTCGGCCAGCGACGAAGCTCAGCAGTACTCGTACCCGGTAAGCCGCGCGAGCAGTAGCCAGTCATATCATCATACGCTCGTCATACGCTCGTAGCGTTATATAGTTTTGCATCGCGTGACGCGCGCGATCGGCAGTATAGAGTGCGTCGGTTTCGTTGTACTCCTTTTTTTTTTTTTTTTTCGTTATGTTGTAAAAGGTGAGGATTTTGTGTTCTCGATGTAAGATCGGTAGCGAGAGATCGGTAACGTCGATTTTTGCCACTGCTGCGATTGTACGTGTCGAGTGAATTTTATATATATTTGTTAAAATTCTCTCCCGAGTTTCGTTAACTACTGTACCGCGTGAAGTGATGATTCAAGATCGAGTTAAACTCGCGCATTCCACTCGTGAGCAATGTCCACGTTGATAATTCATTCATAAACTATTTTTTATATTTTTTTTTCTCGTTTCGTATTTTTGGAACGCTGCGTATCATCTCTCGACTCGACTCTCGACGCGCAGTCGACAAAACACACCCCGTCTGTAACTCTGTAATCATTGATTTCCCAACAGAATCAGCAGCAATTACAATCTTTATACCCACCAAGCGCCTGTAACAATTGGGGTTCGATTTTGCTCCCAGATAGCGGCCAGAGCATGGCCAGGAGGCCGCCCTACCCGACCGCCACGCAGGACGCCGTCTCGATACGCTCGCTGGCCTCGATCGGCATGGGCTCGTCCGACGGCAGGAAGCTCACCATACGCCGGGTGCCGACCTCGCCCACCGAGCTCCTCAACATGGTCCATCCGCCCACGTGAGTCGTCGCATGTAATATAATATAATTTAATGATAAATGTAACATTCAATTTTAACCCATTATATCAAAGTGTAAGGAGTTTCGTGCTTTCCGGATTCTTTCGCACCCAATATACACGCGTACTCGAGTCGTTAAACGTTGACTACGCGAGTGGTTGTAGTTTTCAAGGAGAGAGATAATGCGAAATACAATTATTGTCCAACGCGAACGCGGTAACTTTATATTGACTCTGGCTAATGCTCGCTAAAAGAATTTCGGTCCCGAGCTACACTACGCTACGCTTTTTAAAAATAAATCTCGTTTATATACGAAAATAATTTCAAAGTGGGTTTTACAAAGTATCAATCGTATACAATTGATTTTAAGCTTTTGAGAGAACACCGACCCGTTACGATGCATCGTATAATTTTGTGCGTACGCGCTGTCTATAATAAAATCACCAAAGATGTGGAGCGCCTACTCGCACACACAGACACGCATAAAACAGCTATCATGTCGGAGAGAGAGAGGCTATAAACTCGCTGTTTTCTCTCTCGCTCGCTTTCTTACTGAAAAAAACAACGAAAAAAAAGCTGCAACTGTTACGGAGCGGAGAGTGACGTATAGCGCTTGATGCGTACATACAAGCGAGTGATTCCTAGGCTTGGAATGAGAGAAAGAGGGAAAAAAGAGGAAGGAATCGTCTGGGAAATGGTCGTACAGTTGTCGTCGCGTGTATCGCCTCTCTCTCTCTCTCGATGAAAGTTACACACGATGTGTATTATACGTTTGAAATTCAATTCGTTGCGTTCGGACGTATATGTGTCAACGATATAGTTGTGTATTCACGATGCGATTTATTGCTGCAGGCCCATAGGCGACGACGTGTCGACGGGCACGAGCTTCGACGACGGCGACGCCGAGGACCCGGGCGAGTATCGTCAGCCCCGCAGGCCCCACTGGGAGAACAAGACGCAGTTCGTGCTGGCCTGCATCGGCTACTCGGTGGGCCTCGGCAACGTTTGGCGGTTTCCCTATCTCTGCTACAAGAGCGGCGGAGGTAAATATATATATAACGCAACGATAATAATTTTCGAGCCAACGAGTACACGCATTATACGCGAACGTAACGTGGAAAATATGGCAAAGAGATCTTTTCCGGAAGTCATCTTCTGCACGATATACGGCTGAAATCGAGGCAAAAGCGGCACTTATCGAACGAATGAAGAAAAAAAAAAAAGAAAAACCGCGTCTACGCAGGGCCACGCACGCGGGGTCGCGATCTCTAAAGTCAGCTGTATCGAGTTTCGCCTCGTAAAAACAATACACACACGCGACGACGCGTGCTATAATAAGCCGCGCGTATTATTTTATACGCGCAGTGAGAGAGAGAGACATTATGCGTACAATTGGTAGCGCAGACTGCCACCAGACACCACCGCACCGACGCGTCGACCGACTCAAAAGGCGGAACACAGATTTCATTAAAAAAAAAAAAAAAAAATAGCTCGTGTGCATGCGGTCGGTCTATACTGCTATGCTGCTGCATCGAGCGGCGCGTGAAATATTTGATAAATTCGAATTTCCGCTGGGAGATTATTATACAACGATACGATCGGCGGCGGCGGCGGCGGTAGACTCCCTCGCAAAGAGAGAGATAGACGGGAGCCGCGCCGTAATTCGATCAGACAGGCCATTGCGCAATTCATGCGACTAAACGGCTCGAAGATGTGGTCGCGTAGCGCAGCATACATATTATATACGTACGAAAAAAAAAAACCGCGACAACATTCGATCTTCGCGCGGCTGAACCGTTCGCGTTCGCGATCGTTCGTCGGTCGCTACTCGAGTGAATCGGGAAGCGCGAGGAAATCACGATGATGCGCTTCTACATAATCACACCGATGAGCTTCGTACAAGAGCCCCGAGGCATCGGCCGGAAATACAGCTGATCGGTCATTTTTTATCTGCTGCCGCCGCCGCCGAGAGATCCCGGGATTAGTGTGTATATAGTGGACTAATATGCGCTCGGCGGCACGGCTATCCGGAAGGTCGAGAGCTAGGCTCCGGCCCAGGGTCATGTATCAAGTTCCCAAGTACACACACACACACATGAGTATATATAGCGTCTGTTACTGCGTGCATACACCGGTACATTATAATATACACATAATATTCTCTACCGATTGTACGTTCGTACGCATAATAATAATCGCGTGTGTGTGTATACGGCAAGAGGGGAAACTCAAAACGACGTTTCTTTTTGAGGACGATCGCGGCGCGTGTGCTATGTACGAAATATTTTTTTTTGTGTATTTAAGTATGATGCAACAACGAGCATACGGTCGAAAGAATTTTAAATACTTTACAGAGTAATATATTTGCAATTGTTTACCTCTTACCAAATATCTTTACTTAAAAAAAATTGTTGTTTGCCATATAATTTTGCATTACATAGCCGTGTAAGAGGAAGCGTCGAGCGAATGAAAAATTTAAAGCCCCATCGGCAGCGGCGTACAATAGGGAATATTTAATAAGCGATAAATTTCACTTTTGACGTTTAGCGTCGCGGCGGTGCGTGCGCTACGGCATGTGCTGCTGCGCGTCGACGACGACAATGACAAATGAAACGGCAAACAAAAAAACGAGTAGTTGGTAGTATTTCGTCTTATCTCGTGTCTTGAAATACATAAGCATACTCCGCAACAAAGATGAGCTCGCGAGAGTGACGTATCTTCAAATATTTAAAATTAACAATTTATCTGCAGCAGCGGCGCGTCCTCTCGGTCACGTGCGCGCAATGTGCTTCGCCCGCTGCGCGTCGACATCACAACAGATCGAGCAGCGTGTTAATTAATTAATAAATATTTGGATGATTTTTCCAGGCGTATTCCTGATACCTTACTTCTTAATACTCATCGTGTGCGGCGTGCCGCTGCTGTACATGGAGCTGAGCATAGGCCAGTTCACGAGGCGAGGACCCATAGGCGCCCTCGGCCAGATCTGTCCTCTATTCAAAGGTAAAAAAAAAAAAACTTGTCCATTTCTTATATCGAGTGCGCCTAGTAGCAAAAGTAAGACGTCGGGTCGAATAATTGAAAACGACGACGACGACTACGACGATTTCACATTATAGCACATAATAATATATGGAGCATCGCGTTGAAAGAGCCGCGCGACTCGTCGTCACATTATCTCGGTGATTGATTGACAGAGAAGCACGCGCGCGCAATCCCGCGTATACACCACGAGAGCCGCAGCGCGTATAATTCAATAAAAGGTACGAATCAGCGTTGCGCGCGCGAGCTTTTATATATATAGAGAGCCTCGATGCGATCTCGTCTCTCTCTTTCTGTATGTGTGTGCGTGACGCGCGAGACACAACGTGTACCACTTTTGTAAAATCAGTATGTAATAGTCGTAGCGATATCCCATTTTTTTAAAATGACCAATTAATCATGACCTAATGACCGAATAGCGAGATTGTAAAATGATATAATCATCGATGATTTTACTATTGTGTTAAAAATATCAAGTCAATCTTGACATTTGAAATGACAACCGCTTCGAGCCTCCGCCGCTAGATGGCGAGCACTGCAATCCGTAAATCTGCAAGTGGCGAAGTAAAATCAAATGTACATAAGTTCTATTTCAGATTACGTCCACACCATTAGTATTTTCAAATTACAATTCTTCTTTCTGCAGGAGCCGGCCTGTCGTCGGTCGTCATATCGTTCCTCATGTCGACCTATCACAACGTCATAATCGCCTACGCGATCTACTACTTCTTCACGGGCTGCAGGCCGATACAGCCGTGGTCGCGCTGCCGCAACAAGTGGAACTCGCCGGACTGCTGGTCGGCCGACGTCATGACCAACAACAACACCAGGCCCAAGAATCCCAAGATACCGGCGGCCGAGTTTTTCGAGTAAAGCCTCCCTCCCTACTACCCCTCTTTTCTCAATGTGAATATTTGATACAATTTTTTTTACAAAAAAAAAAAACGCGCGTTGATCATGACAAAAAAATTGAATGCAAAGGAAAAAAATCCGAAGAAATGTAAAAATTCAACGCATCTTTTTTCACGGTACAGCAACAAAGTACTGCAGATAAGCTCGGGCATCGAGGAGCCGGGCATGCTCAGGTGGGAGCTGGCCGCCTGCCTGCTCTCCGCCTGGGTCATCGTGTACTTCTCCATCTGGAAGTCGATCAAGTCGTCGGCGCGGGTCAGATACCTCACGGCCACTCTGCCCTTCCTCCTCATCTTCATCTTTCTCACGCGCTCGCTGACCCTCGAGGGCGCCGACAAGGGACTGCAGTTCTTCTTTCACCCGGACTGGGAGCTGCTGAAAGACGCTAAGGTTGGTATACATTATTCAGCAGCAGCAGCAGCAGCAGAGTCGCTGCGCGCAGATGTGTAACGCTTATATAGTTATATAGCAGTGCCTCATTATCTTGTTAAACCGAGCGCGCGATACCGTGTGTGCGAGCTCGAATGGAGGTCGTCACTTTAATATACGTATACCATTTTGCGACCTGTACGCGAAGGAAAAAAAACAATTGACGAGCTTTGTGATATGAATAAAGGAAATGAAATCAAAATTATATATCGATTCGATGCACCACACAGGTCTGGGTGAACGCGGCGGCGCAGATCTTCAATTCCGTGGGCATAGCTTTCGGCTCGATGATCTGCTTCGCCAGCTACAACAAGTTCCACAACAACATTCTCGTCGACACGTTGGCGGTCTCGCTGATCAACGCCGGCAGCTGCCTCCTGGTCGGCATATTCGCCTTCGCCACGATCGGCAACATCGCCGTGGAGCAGAACATGACCGTGCCGGAAGTGCTGAGCGATGGTGAGGTTCGCACACACACACACACACACACGTACACGAAAAAAAAAAAAGAAAAAAATCGCATCGGATGAGATCTTAATCTTTGTCGGATTTAGCGCATCACCCCCTTCGACGTGTATGTAATTTGCCAGTTGAGACGGGCCTTTATAATTAAAAACAGTCGAGGACGTGTAAACGCGCGCCAGACCATTATTATTTGCATTTTCACATGCGCGCGCGATCGTATTATGTTACAAGCGTTGTGTAATACCGGCAATTTAGTTAAAGTACACTCGCGAGGACCATCGGTGTACGATACACGTATCGAGCTGATAGATCGGTAGGCCGATTCTTGTACGGACTTTTCATGCCGAGAGAAATTTATGGAAAATTTTTAAAATTAAAAGTAAAACGAAATACTACGTTGGATGGTAGTCGTTGTGTAAAGGGTAACAATCTTATAACATCGAATACCTACTGAAATTAGCTTAAAGGATGTGCGTACAGACTATAAATATAAATGTAATTCCAAACAATACTTGCCACGAGTTTTGGTAAAAAATTATGGTTCGCCATCTATTGACGATTTGTTGATCTAAATGTCATCTAGGCCTCTGCTATTCGGCACAGTAACTTTTCGTAGAGTACACAAGTACATCGTTTTTATTTTGCAATGCCCATAATAATATTTGGTATTTTTGCAGTAATAATTCTTAAAAAATATAGTAAAAAGTAACACAATTAAGTATGGCTATAAAACAGTAATTTCAATCATTTATCATTTTAAACTTTCTTATAAACTTTCCTCACGGCAGTCATAAGTATTTTGATCTTAACGATCCAAAATTAAAAAAGCCCGCAGTAAAACACGAAATCGTACGTTTGTTTTAATTTTTTGCTCATCGAGATCTGCTTTTCTCACTCACCCACCCTCTCTTCCCTCATCTTATATTATGCACTTCATAGATACAAATAAAAAAGCAACGAATAAACTTTCCCGTTTTAAGGACCCGGCCTGGTGTTCGTGGTGTATCCTCAGGCACTGGCGAAGATGCCGTGGCCGCAGATGTGGTCGATGCTCTTCTTCTTCATGCTCGTCTGCTTGTCGCTCAACAGCCAGGTTAGTGGCGACGGCGGTGGTGGACGAATTTTTCGACCTTCTACGCCGTCGTGTTCGTGCCACCGGACGGAATCGTTATTTCTTAAATCGTCCGTCTCAGGAAAATAAACTCGTGTGTGCTTTTGACTTCTTTTGTTGCAGTTCGCCATCGTCGAGGTGGTCGTGACGTCGATCCAGGACGGATTCCCCAAGTGGGTCAAGAAAAACCTGATGTGCCATGAGATGTTAGTCTTGCTAGTCTGTATAGTATCGTTTTTATTCGGCCTGCCGAACGTCACGCAGGTACGCAAAAGAAACTTTACTGAATCACTCGTTAATTTCTGTGACTTTGAATAAAATACCTATTCCTTTTTTCGCAGGGTGGCATCTACTTCTTCCAACTGATCGACCACTACGCCGCGTCGATATCCATCATGTTTCTGGCCTTCTTCGAGGTGATCGCCATCTCGTGGTTCTACGGCGTGCGCCGGCTCAGCAGCAACGTCAAGGAGATGACGGGCCGCGTACCCTCGATTTACTTTCGCTTCTGCTGGCTCTTCGCCGCTCCTCTCCTGATAATGGTATTTTAATCTCGGCTGCACTTGTAGTTGATCGTTGCATTGTATACTAAAAGAAATGCTGCACGTGTGTGAGGAGTATAAAATTTATACGATCGTCGCGAATCTCATTGAGAATTCATATATATCGGCTCGAGATAGAGAGCTGCGGTTGTTGTACACGCAGCGAGCTTAATCGATCAATGTCTCGAGCTGAAATGTGTCATTGTGTAACGTTTGACTAAACGGCTCCGGTTCGCGCCGATCCACCGTTCTCACGATGCAGCGTTTAATTTTCGTTTGCATTGTAACGATTACAAAGCGCAATTAATTAAGTTCAAGTTTCGATCCTTACGTGCGATTCGCTTTTCCAGTCGGTTTGGGTGTTCAGCCTGATAGACTACGAGCCGCCGCATTACACCAAGTCCGACGGCAGGTATCAGTATCCTTGGTGGGCGGAGGCCATCGGCTGGAGCATCGCCTCGCTGTCGCTCATATGCATACCCGCGTTCGCCGTTTACGTTTTCATCCAAGCGGAGGGGACGACGTTTACTCAAGTAAGACTTATTGCGACCCCCGTAGAAATGCTCAACATTAATAATGGCTCGATGATACAAAAATTACCGTTTGAAATATTTTAAAATATATAATTATTTATTGACTTGTTTTGAAAATGACAATTTAATATTCCAAATTATAGACGAATTTTCAACCACTACGATAATACACATTTTGAGCCTCTGCCGCTAGATGGCGAATACCTACATCTATAAATCTGCAAGTGGCAAAGTCAAAATAATTGTATAAGTCAGAGTAATAGAATAAGTGGATCAGACTTTTATTTTTTTTTTTATGTATCCGGGACGGACACTTTTTCGATACTTTTTTGAGGCGTTATATTATTGTTGAAAGTGGGGTCTGAAAAAATTGCGAGTAAGCATATTCTAGGCACAATTTAATGAACTTTTCGAATCCAGTGTCACATTTTCGATATAGCAACCGATCAAAAGTAATGGATGGTTTTAACCAAAAAAATGTGGTTTTGAAAAAAAAAATTTTTTCTTTTCAAATTTTTACATGGAAATCGTTGAAGTCCCGGCATCTCGGATGCAAATAAAGCGTCCATGGACCCTAAACTAAAAGTTATCATGGTTTTGATTAGAGGAAATAAAGTTTGAGTAAACAAAATGGCGGTTAGAACACCAAAATTTGTTAAAAAACTTTTAGAACTTTTAACTCGAAAAAGAAGGGCTTGAGGGAAAATTTTTACCCATGAAAAAGTTCTTAGAATTGATCAAAGAATACGCTAGAATTTTTCAGATTTTTCAAAATTTTTTCAGATTTTTCAAAATTTTCAATTTATCAAAAATTGAAAAAATTTTACACAAAGGTCCGCTTTCTTCAACGGTTTGAACCAAGTGCAAAATGAAATTAAATGTAATTATTAAAATTGAGATCAATTGATAATTCACTCGAATTTCATGTACTCAAAAAATGGCCATTAAATTGTAAAAAAAAACGTTGAGCCATACTATGTTGATAAGATGTTAAGCATTTCTACACGAGGATATAAAAGTATTAAAGTCGTATATGATACTTTTTTGTAAAAATTTTAAATTGTAAAACTACATAATTGTGTCCAATTAATTTTACACCTAGCATCAATGCGATCGTATGATTATAATCGTCCCGATCGACGAGTTTATTTTCCCGATCTTCTGGAATTATCTGTAAAATTAAAAGTCCAAGCAAATTTCAATGTTATCGACGATACGATTAATTAAACCGCAGAATCATTAATCACGCCGTAGAGATAATCATTTTCGTCAATAATAACGTCATTCGTCTGATTTTTTTTTTTATTTCAGAAATTGCGATACGCAATTAGACCAGACTTCGAGGCGTGCGAGGTTTGCGGCCAGGAGTACTGCGAGGAGCCGTCCCACAGCAAGGATGACGACGAACTGAAAGAGCCTCTTCACGAGATGAATAACGTCATTCAAGTAATTTTTTTTTGTTTCTTGGCAATATATAAAATACCAAATCGATGAAAATCATATTTGTTTTTTTTCTATTGTTATAGATCGTGCAAAGTTGACAACCAAAGGATCAACCTTGCTAATCGACGCAATGCACCAAATAAAAAATAAAAAATTAGACTATACTCGAGACAATCTCATCGTTTTACTCTACTCTTTTGGGAACCAAAATTAGTCTACGTTAAGACTTACAGGTTCAAAGTCATATTATATAGGAGCAGTGATCGTAGAAAGGCAGACGTTCGATGCAATTATAGCCAAATGACAGAGACAATGAATTTCAAACTGCTTCCTTGTCCTCCTTAGACATTCCAATTATCGATTGTATGTATCTTTAAATGAATGATTTACTATGTAAAAGTTATAACTTTATTATATAGATTAGTATGAAAAAATGTAGATTAATGAATGTGAGTGTGTAACAATATTTTTGCGTTTATTCGAAGTATGTAATATCGTACGTATGACTCGTAACGATTTTACTCTTTATTAGTTGTGATTATATTTTGCTACGACGAATGTATTTTCAATTAAAATATATCAAAAATGTATACCTGACGAAATATAACGAGTATGTACTGTGTGTGTCGCAAGGATTCAAATACATTTTCACGCACGCGCGAGTTAATCGATGCGATGAATCGTCATAAACGCCTCTGCCGATCGTACGGAGATGCGTTACATTATAAGCATCGCGCACATGTGTGTGCGCGCTATAAGGCAGGGGTACAAATCAGAAAATGGAAAGCAGCAGCATCGATACACAACGCGATTACTACTGTGTGTGAATGTGTGTGTGTGTGTGTGTGTGTGTGGAACGCATTTGAGAATTTGCATAACTCGTCATTAGCCCATTACACAGAGACAGACACAGGTGGAAAAACTCGCGAGAAGAGAGGCGACAAGAGGTTGTACAAAGCGCCGAGGCGCGCGCATTATATCGGCTCGCGAACTGCGATAAATCAACCTCGCGCTCTTGTGTGTGTGTATATGTGTACGTGTGACTTTCGATGCAACTATTTATTTCACGTTGTGTGTATCTATGTGTATGTGTATATGATTGTGTGTGTGTGTGTGTGTGTGTGTGTGTGTGTGTGTGTATTTACAAGTACAAGTCGAAGATACCGAGTACAAATGCATCCATATTGAGACTACGTGTTTAGATATGAATCTGTATAAAAAAAAAGAAAAAAAAAAGAAAAAGAAAATATATACTCGCCGATCGCACCCGATCCTTTGTTCTTTCTCATTTTATTACGGACATTTCTTCGATATAAAAAAACAAAATCACTACAATGTAGTAGCATTGTCTTTTATTATTAAATACTATATTTATATTACATTATTGATTACAAAACATAACAGTGCACGTCGTGTATATAGTCAATGGTATAATCATATAGGAATAATTGAGTTTATATATTTTCAAGAGAAACATTACTTGTATATTTTGTATCGAGTTCCTCTTCAACAAAAAAAAAACTACAAGTGATAACTAAGTATATACAATGATATCTGTTAATTGGCTAAAAGAAAATTTTCATCGCGTTTCCGACACTTGGGTTCACAACTTCAAAAAAAAAAAAAAAACTCGCGAGATCCGAATAAACATACAAAAATATACTCGATTCACTTCTTGACACGAGGTATTACGCTACGAGGCGGTTATTCTTTCACTATTTCTTTCCCTTCTTGCCGCCGTCCTCGTCCTCCTCCGGGTGAGCCGCGTTCCACTCGAGAGCCTTCTTGATGGCTTCCGGGATCGGTGGAGGCGTGGGCAGATGCGCGCCCTGGGGCTGGAAGCCGTTCTCGTCGGCGATGTACGTGATGGAGTAGTCGGCGCCGTCGTCGCCCTTGTAGCTGAAGGCGCCCTGCGCCGACATGGCCTCGTTCTCCGAGCCGGCGTTTTTCACCGCGCCCTCCTCGTTGGCTTTGATCCCGTTGCCGGACTCGTAGGCCCACTTGTACGAGCCGTCGGGATTGGGACCCTCTTGCGTTTGACTGATGATCGGTATGACGTCCTTGTTGTCGGCGGGTGCCGAAGACACCAGGGTCGTGAACAAAAGCACAGACAACTGCGAACAGAATGGAATTCCAGGTTTTCTATCACTGATGATCATTTTTTATGGTAATTTTTATTTTTTAAAACGATGCAAAATGTTGAAAACTTTGAATGAAAAATATTTATGATTTTTTTGTAAATTTTCAAATCGAGTGTTATATTATATATTTTTTTTCAACAGTGAGATGATAACTGAAATTTGAAAAATGATGGATGAACATTAATTTCCGTAAAATATTTCGTTCGAACTTCGCACTCAATGATCTTCACAAATTGATGTTCACAATTGATTCAACAACACAAAAAATGAAGCACAAAAAATGATGCACTGAAACTGAAAATGAAAATTCACATTTGTTGCGCTTACCAGGAGAGCCTTCATCTTTGTGGAGCACTATATGATATTCACACAACAATAGCTCGCACCGATTTGACCGAAAGCAGCGATTTTCTCACGATCTATAAGCTCAATAATAGATAAACGCAGGCTTATATATACCCGTGCGGCTGCACAAGTCCCATATACAACACGACAATTCGCTCCTTCCCCCAAGGAGCTCTCGGAAAAGTGCACACACATACTCATACTCATTCGCTACTCTAATATAACTCTGTGTCTGTGTCTGTGTCTGTGTGTGTGCGCGCGGGCGATCGCGAGGCACAGTGGCAGAAGCGCATTTCCATACTCATTACAAAGGTGACGTTAAAAAAAAAAAAAAAATTTCTCATTAAGACCTGTTTCTTCATTTTTTAGAGGATGAAAATATGCTCAACTCCGTTAATTTTATTGGTTTGACAATTTTGTAAGTACCCGCGCGCGCGCGCGACGATGCCGCAACCGAAAGTATATATGCGCCTTTCGTAAAATGAGTAAAAGCTTTAATAAATTTTTGCATTATTTGGCTTTAAAATAGCTGCATTTTGAAACAACCGAGATTATAACGTTGACGAATATTTTTTTGCATTCGCTCGTTCAAAAAGTCCATGGAAATTATCAAAACTTTGAATAAAATTCCCTCGTTCCGTGGATAATTTACGAATAATAAAAACGAATGAGTAATTGCATAATTAAAATGGCATTACTAAAGACAAGTAAATAAATCGCATGGGTACGAGTTATCGTGAATGTCAAGAGAAGAATATTTTTCTCGGCATAAACAAGCATTAAAAAAATGCGCATAACTCGGGGAGTAATTTAACGAGATTTCGATAGTAAAATAGTTCATTAAATTCGTTCGAAATCCTTGATATCGTATTTTTTGTTCAGTTTAATACACCGCTCCTCCCATTCGTTTATGAAATAATATCGGGCATCGTGACAATCGACGTAAGAGCGAACGAAAAAAATGACATTCAGTTCGCGCTGATGTACCTGCCGCGCGGTGCAAAGGTAACGCCGAGCAGCGCACCTAGTTACACATACATACCACATTCGCGGGCGTAGTCTACTGAGCGCGACTGTGTACGTATAATATAAAGGAATCTTGCTTTTACATAGACACTGGGTAATGGATGTATTTTCAAAATAATTTTTGAAGTACAATTTTCGATTGAATATTAATTCGCTGTGATATCGTCAAAAGTAAACTACAAAATCATTAGAGATAAATAATCCAGCATTAACTTTTAGTTACCGCCGTAACCTCTCGCTATTCAATATCTCGGCACGCAAACATGTATGCGCCATCGGTTTAATTTGCGCTCAACTAGGTGAAGTAATGCACATCTACAGACACACAACAGGTCGCGAGCAGATCAGAGAGATATTTTATTTGCTTCGGTTGTCGTTGGTACTACAACTTATACTTACTGTACGGCAATCTCTGTACCTTGCGCGCCTTGGATATAGACTAGATCTTTTTTTTTTTTTTGCTCATATACACAGCCGCCGCAGTGATCGCGAGGTCAAACCCTCCTTTTATTTGCCATTGTTGATGATAATGATTTATGGCTTGCCAAAGAACTGCCGAGAGACGAAAATAGCAGCAGTGGAGTAGGCTAAAGGAAGAACTGGGCGAAGCACGACTTCTTAAAGGTAACACATAGACACACATATTTATGAATTATTCATTTTGTCTATATGCAATGATATCATTTTTGTTTTGTATCGTACCGCGAACTTTCTCGATTCGAAATAAAAACAAAGTAAAAAATCTAAAAATAACGTTTTACAGGAGGTTGTCTTGAAAATGGTCGATGTAGTTTCTGTAAGCTCGCCTCGATATTATAAATAAAATAGATAACGGTCGCGTCGATTCCGGCTGGTTTGCAATTAAGATGCGCCAGATAATGAGAAAATACACTCGTATCCAATAACAATCGCAATAACAAAAGCCAATCTCGAGAGCGTGAAAAAATCCTGAATAATTCTAATAATTTTTTTTTTTTTCTTTACAGAGAGCTGAATGAATTTCAGTCATTAATTTGCTTATACACGCGCAAACGAGTTGAAAAAAAAAATTTGAGACATGCAACTCTTTTCGATAACCCAAAGCCATCTGACGCAAATATGTTTCGCAGCGCCGCACATACGAGCAGATTCAAATTGTTAAAATTGCCAGTACACATCGCTGGTGTATAATCGCAGCGCAAATTACGCAACGCAATATATCAAAGAAGAGTCTTTTTCACACTTATGCAATTGGCTTGTCTAATACGAAGTTTATACAAATTCAATGCGCGCAGAAACTCGTGTATCGAGTCGAAGAAATGATCGATTTTATTTTGATTACGGCAATTTCTATATATTATCCTGAAGGCCAAGCAAGGCTATTATTCGCGAATTATGTCATTTCGAATCATTACTTTGATCTCGAGCTTGCCGTTTTCCGTCACCATGGAAATTAATTGTGTTTTGGAATGCCATTAGAGAATGTTACAGTATTATGGTTTTGTCGATGCGCGCACACATCGATTCAATGAAAAATAGCAAAACGTTGCAGCTGCGCGATCTTGTGCGCCTCGCAGGTGAGAAATGCATTTAACTTCTCTGATTCATAAGATTAGACGTTCGAGATTTTTTCCAATGCGAAGGCCTTCAAAACAGACATCTTGTTCATTTTCAAGTTCAAAAATGAAATAACAACTTGAGTTAAAGGTGAGATTCATTAAAGAAATCAAAGAGCATCTAATAAATTAGCTGCTAGTTTAGAAAAAAAAATGTTTTTTTATGTAACCTTCCTGGTTGTACGAGCAGATAATGCGCAAAAACAGCTTTTCATCTTCACTCTTTGATGATAACATTCTTCATTGTAACCACACTACTCAACGAAAAGAAATCAATTCATGAATTCTTTTGCCTTAGAAGTGTTAAAACATTTCATATTCGACTCGTACGACTCGTAAAAAAAAATTATCTAGTAAAAGTCGAGAGCCAAAATTATTTCTGATTTTTGAATGGAAAAAATATGAATGGATGAACGTGACGATAATTTAGAATAAAAGTGCGAAAAACATGCAAATATATGAATAATCATATTTCCTATCCGGAAATCGTATACCCGCTGCCACATCAATACTTAAAATATGTTTCTTATAAATTTTAAAGAAAATAAAACAAAAAAACTTGGGTTTTTTCCTTTTTAAATTTATCACACTATTATTAACAATTAGTATCACCAGAATTCACCGTAACTCGAGAGATGCCATAAACAACCTTATAGTCTGGTTTAATTACAGAACAAAAAATCGAAAAAATGAAACCTGCTTGTACATCAGTGAAGAATTTTCTCAACTCTATACATGGCACATGCCTTCCATTGTGTACGAAAGCATTAGTGCAATTTAAAGTAAAAGGGGTTTGGCCGATCTCGAGTAGGCTTGCTGCAATCGCGTTACATATAGACACAGTGTCGATCTGAATTCTTCTAGCACTCGCTGAATTCGACGTACTTCGAATCCTTCGTTTACAACAGCTTCGTCCTTTGAATTGTTCAACCTGTTTCATAGAGAAGCCATGAAAATTTATCATGTAGATTGTTTAAAATAAAAGGATCAGGGTTATCTACAATATATTGCTTATCGCAATTTTTTACATAGTTTTAGTTTTTCCTTGTTAAAATTAAATTGAAGCTGACTAAATTCTTTCTCGATAGACGATTTTTTTATCAAAAAAATAATAATCATTCATTCATTCATTTCTATTCTATTTTCGCGCTCGCGCAATTGACGATTGGCGTCGAATTATCGCAGAAATTCCGACTTGCAAATGCGGACTTCATTTGCTTTCGTATACGCTCTTGCATATTTATCGTTGTGTATTAACGCCTTGGATAGCTTTGATAATCGAGGCGCATCACCGTACGAAAGTTACAAGAGATGGTCGATGAAAAATGACTGGTTGCACGATCTTGCGCGTCTGTTTACCTCGATGCGCACAGATTGATTATGGTCGAATATTTTTAAGACGATTTATAGTTATAGCAATTAACGACGGCACATGATTCTTTTTTATTTTAATTTTTCATACGGGCAAGAATGATGCAATTCGATGTTTATATGAATGACAAATTCAACATAATTTTGAGAATGTAATTAAAAAACGATTTTTCGTTCAGAATTAATGTTTTCATGTTTGGAAAAATAATAATTGAACATTTACAAAGTGCACGAATTAATTTTGTTTCGATAAAATTTTAAATAACAAAATTAAAACTGATTATCAACAGCAAGTACATTAAAAGTGCGCCTGTGGTATATGCATCCAGTCAATCAATTCTGTTGGCGGGTTATCACATACAGGGGCATTGCTTAAATATGAAAAATTCAAATAATTGCGGTTACTTACGTTTCTATAAAAACAAACAAAATGGCGCAGTTCATTCAAAATATAATTTATTTTATAATCAATTAATAATAATTAAAAAATAACGTTTTTTTCTTATAATCCTCAAAAATTAAATAAAGTAAAGTTGATATTATTTTTCGATAAATATTCTTACAAATATCGCGAGTTTATTAATTGCTTTATGTGACAAATTGATGTAGACTTTTGCAAGTTTTTTTACGAATGACATTTTACAAATATCACTCGGGTAAGTCATACAATATTGACTATTTTACTGTGTGAAAATTTTCGTCTGTTATGAAATGAATCAATATGGGATTCGAAGTGCTCTTTGATTTTAAATATCTTTTACGAATTTTTCACGAATAACAAATTCAAATGCGCACTGAATCGACCTAATTTTTTAAAGTATACTTAAGTGTGCATATGATACTTATGCATATATCGCGGTTGATGAGGTTTTCGATAACTATGCATTAAATCTGTATGGGCTTTGAGATTACCCTTTATAGAAAATGTCTTTCCACACATGTAACATAGATGATTGATATTTTTATGCACCGAATCGATATGAACTCTGAGATTAATCTTTTGAATAAAGGACTTTCCGCATATCTGGCAGCTGTGACGATTCCCAATATTATGCAATGAATCAATATGAACCTTGAGGTAATCCTTTTTTGAAAACGTCTTTCCACAAATGTCACACGAGTAAGTAATACGATTATGCACCGAAACAATATGGATTTCTAGATCAACCTTATGTGCAAATATCTTTCTGCATATATCGCAGTTGTAACGTTTTTGACCATTATGCATTGATTGAATGTGGCGCTTGAGAGCACTTGTTTGCGAAAATGACTTTCCACAAATATCACATGGGTACGTAATTCTATTGTGCACCGAGTTGATGTGAACTTCTAGATTATGCTTATATGGAAATGTCTTTCCGCATATATTGCAATTGCGCGATCCTGAACCATTATGCAATGATTCAATATGCGGCTTAAGATAAGCCTTCTTTTTAAATGACTTTCCACAAATGTCACACGGGTAAGAAATAGAATTATGCATCGAATCAATGTGGATTTGCAGACCACTCTTTTGAGAAAATGTCTTACCACACGTGTGGCATGGGTGATTGATATGATTATGTACCGTATCAATGTGAACTCTCAAAACTTGCTTAAGTGCAAACGACTTTCCGCAAATGTCGCAGTTGTGATATTTTCGACCATTATGCTCAAAATCAATATGGACTTTGAGATAAGCTTTCCCTTTAAATGATTTTCCACAAATTTCACACGGGTAAGAAATAGAATTATGCACCGAATCAATGTGTAATTTCATAAAACCCTTTTGTGAAAATGACTTTCCGCACGTATCGCAGCTATGAGGTTTTCGACCATTATGGAATGAGTCGATATGGACTCCAAGATAACTTTTTTGTGTGAATGTCTTTTTACAAATGTCGCATGGGTAAGTGACACGTTTATGCACCATATCAATGTGTTTTTTCAGAGTAGTCTTGAATGCAAATGACTTTCCGCACGTATCGCACCTGTGAGATTTTCGACCATTATGCAATGAATCAATGTGGATCATTAGATAATTTTTGCTTTTAAATGACTTTTCACAAATGTCACATCGGTAAGTAATATGATTGTGCACCGAATCAATGTGGATCTTTAGAACATGTTTTGAAACAAAATTTTTTGAACACGTCCCGCATTGAAAAAATTGCTTGCTTTTCTTTACTACAAGATCAATTTTCGTATTCTGTCCGTCCTTAAGTTTACAGCTAGTATTTATATCATCAGTTTTTTTAATATCACCAAAAAACTCTTTCTTTACTATCTTCTTATTTTCCATTTGATTCGAGAAAAAGTTTACACAATTATGGTGAATTTTCATATCTTTATATCGACCAGACCAATCGTTCGCTTTATTATTTACTAATAAATCCGCATCGAGTTTCACATCTTCGCACTCGAATTCTATTTTAATTTCTTGGTTATGTTGAAATTCTGAAACTCCTTCGTTCACTTTACCAGTTACTAATAAATCCACATCAGGTTTCACATCTTCGCTCTCCGATTCTATTTTAATTTTTTGGTTGCATGGAAATTCAGGAATTTCTTCGTTCACATTATCAGTTGCTAATAAATCCACATTGGGTATCTTAATTTCTTGGTTAGGTTCAGATTCAAGAATCGCTCTGGCTTCTTTAAGGGTGTGAGTCTGTTTTAGAATTATAATCTCATAAAAATTTCATTAAAACAATGACAATTTAATCGATCATCGTTATCAATAAACTTACGGTATTTTCTTGCAGACATCGGAGTGTTTGCAAATTTTCAGTATCGGATAATTTGTTTTCCGTTTGGCCACCATCAATTTCATTGTAACACATATCATCAGGCTCTTCTTTTACTCTGGAAATGTGAATGATATTATAAAAAAGACACTTACTCATTTTATTGTTTAAATTTGCAAGATGATAATTACTTAACGGTATAGTTGATTATATTCGTAGACTTCATTTTGTCGAATTCAAGGCTAGTGTACGCTTCCGTAGATGAAGTGCAATTAGAATTAAATACCAGCAAATAAAGTCGAGGTGGTAGAAATTTTATTAGCAGACGAGATATACATGACGCGTGCGCATAATAGCTAATAATTGTATTCGATATTCTCAAATTTCATATTTTAGCGGACATGAACCGATAACGAATATGCGTACACAAGAAGAAAAAATTTGCGAACATTTATAATGAAACATTTCATTTTTATTGATTATGCAAATTTATTTCAGTAGCGTTTATCCCAAATCATTCTGCAAGTTCGATATTTCTAGCTTTTATGCTGTACCGGAACTGAGTTGGGTAGATACCTCCAATCTTTTTCAATATTTTTTAAATAAAACTCAATTTTAGGAAAAGTCATGGCCAGGTTCGTTCGTCTTCGTCGATATCGATCGTCTTTTTATTCAGGGACTCTGACGATGTTTGGCCCCTCGCTAAGAGACAAACTTGCACTCGCAAAATTTATGATTCTTCGTGGCGAATTGAGAGCATATCTGAGTCTAGTGCTTATGTACTAATAAACAACGAAAAAAAAAATTATTATTTCATTAGTAATTACGATCATATTTGTAGGGAGAAGCTCTTTGCCAATCCTACGGTCGCAGTATTAAGCCTTTGCACAATAATTTCACTGCGTGCCAAATAGACCTAATATATGATTTTGTCCTGCTCGTTAATACATACGCGAAAAACTTGAAAAGTTGACTACCTTGGTGATTAGTGTAAAATTCTTTTCCCAGCCTCGGGCTAAATTGCGATTTCGGATGCTTCACTCTTTCTCTCTATACACGTGCCGATGCGTGTAGATATGCAGATTCATGCGGTTATTTCGAAAGATAAAGTAAATAAGATTTTCGACAATAGCACTATGGCATCAAATGAATAAAATAACTCTCGGCTTGCATTATTTTTCAAATTAATTATATTATATTTATAATGTAAAAACGAGGTAATAAAATTACACAGTACTTCTTGCAATACAATGAAAGATTCACAGAAACTACGCACTCGAAATACAAAAACTTATTCGAACTATTCTAGAGACTCGAAAAACACCTTTTTTTTTTCATCATCATCACTGAAGATTATCCTCCTCCGGGTGCTCGGCGATCCAGGCCAGAGCCCTCAGGATGCCCTCGGGAATCTCCGGTGCCTTGGGCAGATGAGCGCCTTGGGGCTGAAAGCCGTTCTCGTCCGCTGTGTAAACCACCTCGATGGGCGTGCCGTCGTCGGCCTGATAGCTGTAGCGTCCGCGCACCGACATGGTGCCCTGCTCGCCCTCGGGCTTGAGCTCGCCCTGCTCCTCCATCTGGATGCCGTTGCCGGTCTCGTAGCTGTACGAGTAGGCACCGTTAGGCTCGGGCCCCGTGCTGGCGCTGCGAAGGATCGGAATGATTTCGCGCGGTAGTTCGGTCGGGATGGCGGCGGATAAGGCGTTGGCCACGCACAAAATCAAACATACGACGCCGAGGTATTTCTGTAAAAAAAAAATACAAGAGAGGATCGTTAATGACACCATTACGAAAATTAAGTGCTGGGCAAATAAATTCTTTTTTTTTCGCGATCGCGTGTAGAGAGGTCCTCGAAGAAGATGCACTTTAACGAAAAAACAAAACACTCGATCGCGTTAGATATATTAAATCAGAAACGATTTTCGATTGTAACTGTTCCGGGCGAAGCTTTTTAACGCTATAATATACTCCTTACCATGATGATGGCTGCTGCTGCTGCTGCTTCTCGTGTGCTACCGTAGCGTGTGTGTAACTTCAAGTGTCTCGCAGTTAGGTGTAGCCGCGTTATTTAAATATATGCTCTCCGAAAGTGAAGAAGCGCCTTTTATACATTTTCAAGATGCGATCCCGCGCAATAGCCCGCGTACTACGATGATGAGTCCCCGGCGCATAAATCTATGTGTGCGATGTGCGTGTTTATAGATTTTTATTCATGAGTTTGTCACCTCCTACTCGTCGTCGTGATCGTCTCCGCTCTTTTTTCAATCTTGAACCTGAAAACAAGACGTTTTGTTGGTGTATACTTTACGGTTTTTTTTTTTTTTGCTAAATGATCTTAAGAAACAGTTCCTTGCGTCATGCAATTCATTCTTATCGGTTCCCTCTATACGTTGGCTGTTTAGACTTTTAAAAGATATATTTTAATTATTTATAAAATCATTGTGGTTTTACTCACCCACGAAGGTATAAATATAAACATCAATTTTTAAGATGAGTCAAAACATTAAACGAAGAAAACAATATTTTTCTCCCGCATCATAAGACTTCGTTTTAAACCCTTGTTCCCTCATAATGATAAGTGAATTATCATTACTGACATTCAAATGTGCTACAGTTAATTATTTTAGAACAAACATTTGATGATTATTTTCATTCAAAAAATTTTTCCCTTATTTTATTGGGCAAGGTAATTAAAAATTGCTGGAAAGGTGACTATAGTAAATAGTCGAATTCTTATCGATCCAAGTCATTGTTACGAACGATGATGCATGCAATATGGGCGAGGATCCAATAAATGCAAGTCAGTGATTTTCGAAACGCGAGAGCTCTTAAAATTATGCGTGTTAATTAATGAGGACGCAAATTATCGTCATGCCGTAACAAATATGCACGCTGATACAAAAATTCTTCGGCATTGTAGTCGTAACCAAATAATTTCTGACATAATAGCAGCACTTACAATTAAAGCCGGGAGCAATAAATTTTTTTACCTTTTGCTCAATCTTAAGCAATTTAGCACTTGTTATAAAGTTTTATTTCATATTAACTGTTAAATAGGTCAATCAATTTAAAAATTTATTGATAATTTTGCCATAATTTTTTATTATTAAATGAATTTGATAATCAATTAATAAAAATTTTTAGCTATTGGTTGCAATGACGTTTAAGGAAAAATTATCTTACTCATATTTGTTATTTTTTATGTGGACATCAGTGAGCATACGCAAAATTTTTAGGAAATAAACATTCAGCCGGAAAGATTAGCAATAACAAATATTAGAAGTCCTTTTTCGTGTAGCTCCAAAAATTATTTGGCAACGAAGCACTATGATCTTTAAACACTGACTCAATTACGAAAAAAAAAAAAATCATGAGTACGCCCGTTATGTCCACATAATCGTTTTAGCTAAATACATACACACGCGCCACGAGGATCTTGAGGGAAAAACGAAATCTCGACGCGTTACGACTGTAGGACGCGGTGTTGAACTAACGTACGTAGTCCAGGAGGGAGAATCCTCGCCCAATTGGAGCACTCATTGTTACGGAGCCGCACGTGTGTATCGTGTTCGCATATATAAATCAGCAAGTTCATCGATCTATGGAACTCAGTTGACTGAAAATGTACCTCGACTCACCATCGGCGAGAGTGCTCGAATCAAAATCGATCAGCATGTATCAATTGGTGAGTAAAATTACGATCAACTGTTTTTTTTTTCCTTGAGTGAAAAAGTGTCAAAGTGTTTAGCTTAATTTATAAATAAAATAATCTCGTTGCAGATCGTCTTCGGCGTTTTGGCTCTTACCGGTCTGAGCCACGGTGTGCCCGTAATCGATGCATCGATCGGCTCCATCGGTGATATAAGTGCTACGACTATCAGTGATAATATCGTTACCGATGCATTGGAGCTCACGACTGACGCGTCGAGCGAAACTTCGACCGATCTACCACCGCGCGAATTGGCCCTTTTCTCGTTGTCCAGTGGCATCGACCTGCAAAGCTCCGACGATACCACGGAAGTGCCGGAAGAATCCACTACCCTAGCGGCTACGGTGGCAGCCGAAGAAACGACCGGTGACGATAACGAAGTGGCGAGTTCGGTGAATATCGACGTTACCGAGAGAATCAATACTCAAAAAAGCGACGTAGTTTCGCAGCAAACCGTGGCGAATGCCGATACCAAAACGAGCCCGATACCGATCGTGAGTCAAACTTTCGACGGGCCGAATCCCGATGGATCCTACGCTTACAGCTACGAAACCGGCAATAACATCAAAGTCGCGGAAGTCGGTAGCGTCGTGCAGACCGAGGCTAGGGATGGAGTTAGAACAGGCCCCGTACACGTGCTCAACGTTAAGGGTAATTACAGCTACATCTCGCCCGAGGGTACCCCCATCTCGGTATCTTACGTCGCGGGTGAAAATGGATTTCAAGCCGTGGGTGCTCACATACCGACGCCACCACCGATTCCACCACTGATTCTCAGAGCTCTCAAATGGGCGGAGGCGCGCAGAGAGAAAGAGAGACTCGAGAGAGAAAAGAGCGCGATGTAAAGTATTCTAGTTTTTCGAAGAAATTAGTTTATAGAAATTAGTGGTAATAGTTTATTACAGTGAATTTATTTGACTAGTTTGAAAAACATGATTTTCAAACTGGTAGTGGACACGATAAACGTTATAGTTTATTCAATCCTATATATTTCTGTTACATGATGTAATAAAAATGTTGCTGTAAAGACCTGTGTAATTTGCTATCGGTAAAAATAATATTAATCTTTGAATTTAGTGTACAGTAGTAAGAATGATATTTATGAATGTTTTTTCTATCGTCAAATAGTACTTTTAAATGAATACAATATAATATGAATGAAACAAATGGTAATAAAAAAATTATTAGTAAGAAATTTAAAAGGTGTTTGAAATTCATTTTTTCAAAATATTGACTGCATCATCATATGTAATAAAATTATGCAATGAAAACTTCTTTGAAATTATAAAATAAAATTTACTCTAGAAATTTTTTTCTCCGAAATGGAAGAAAAAAATTTGCTCCAAAAAATTGCCTTTTTCTTTCACTCTATCGCCAACGTCCAAATCACTTTGAAAGCACCAGTTCTCGTCCGATCACTGAAGTTAAGCAAAGTTGAGCGCGGTTAGTACTTGGATGGGTGACCGCCTGGGAACCCCGCGTGACGTTGGTACTAAACTTTTGGAATTTTTTCGTTTTCTCGTATGAAAATGTTTATGTTTTTTCACTTTCCTATACATAAACAATTTTTTTACAGAGATTCTATCTCGAAAAAAAGTTAATAAAACATAAGGAACAACTGCATTGCGTGCCTATACAATCATATTTCTCTTTTGAAAAGTATTGAATGTATTAATTTACTGTGAGATTTCAAAATAAAATTTACATTGAAATCCGACCTGCTCCGATATAAGAGAATCAAATTTACTCCGAATTTTTATAAATAAAATGCATATAAATGAAAGCTCTTGACATTTTATTGCTTCGAATTTGAAGAATGACAAATGCTCCAAAATTTATATCATGCTCCTGAATTAAATAAGCACTGATATTATAGAATCAAATTTGCTCCGAATTTTTATAAATGAAATGTATGAATTTTATTGCTCCGAAATCGAAAAATGACAAATGCTCCAAATTTTAATAAATTAAATAGATGAAATGAAAGCTCTCAATACTTTATTGCTCCGAAATTAAAAAAAGAAAAATACTCCAATTTTTTATTTCATACTCCGGAATGAAATAAGTAAAATTTACTCGAAAAAATGTTGCTCATACAAAGATTTCATTTTTCAATTCCTAAAACAATTGATTGCTCCAATTTTACGTAATTGCAGCTGCTCCTAATAATTCGGAGCACGATCGCTCCGAATTTGATCGAGTCGCGATTGCTCCAAATTTAACAAAATAGCGATTTTTCCGTATTTTTTAGCGTCGCAATCGCTCCGACTATTTCGGAGTCGCTTCTGCTCCGTTTTATCCGGTATAAAACTCCTTTCTTCAAATCTTCAGTAGTATAGTGGTCAGTATCCCCGCCTGTCACGCGGGAGACCGGGGTTCGATTCCCCGCTGGAGAGTTCTTTTGCTTTTGTCGCATTTATCTAGTTGGTAACATTAACGCTAGATGGCGTTGACGCCGCTCCAGATGCGGAACTGTCGTAGTGCGCGTAACATCGCATGGCCGTAGCCATCTCTAGCTTGTAGTACAGAGATGAGCTAATGAATACGAATTTCATATCTATTATATCTTGAAATTTACTAAAATTATTGTTTTATTTTTTTAAGCAAATCAATTTTTTTAAAAATAAATTACTTTACCAAGAGGATTTTTAATCTCTAACGAGGTGAGGAGATATAAATGTTTGGTAATACAATGAACAACTGAATGAATTTCCAAATATTCAATTCAACTGATTGTTGCATATTTTAATTAATTTCTACTTACAGAATTATAAAGCTTGAATCTATACTAACAACATTTTTTTAATTTTAGTATTTTATTTCACAAAAAAATTATTAATGATTGCTCTATCAAAATCGTTGACTTTTATTCAAACCCAATGGTTTGGTAAACGTTTGTTTTTTAACAACGATCGGTTTGGCGAACGTATCTTCTTGCTGAGCTTTGTACGGCTTCTTTCGCTCTACCTCCGGCTGCTCCGTGGTGCTGGGCTGCTTGGCCAGCCACTCCAAAGCTCTCGCGATCGCCGGCGGAATCGGAGGAGGAGTCGGCAGATGAGTGCCGCGAACTTGAGTGCCGAACTCGTCGGCGGTCCAGCTCAGTGCCACGGGAGTGCCGTCGGGCGCGTTGTACTGCACCGAGCCTTGAATCAGCTGAGCCTCGTCCTCGGTGCCCTGGTATTTGCGCTGGCCGACCTCCGACTGGAGTATGCCGCCTTCCGTCTCGTAGGTGAAGGCGTAATTGCCCAAACGTTCGCCTACTTCGTTCGAGGCCTTGACGATCTTTTCCGGTTGTCGAAAGTACTCGTCTTGAGCGTTAGCCGCTGCGGCCAAGAGGCAAGATATGAGCTGTGAAAAAAAACGATGATTGACGTTTTCAATGGTAGTCGTTGAAAGTGGCCTATTCATTACCGTAATCAAAACCGTAATCCAAAAAATTTTTTGATCATTTTAAAACTTAATGTTAATAATATTAGTCTATAACTATACCATCAATTATAAATATTGAATGGAACAAATGACTCATAATTGTTTTTAAAAATTTTTAATCATGCCGAAATCCCGATTATAACATAATTAAAAAGGTATAAATTGTATAAAATATTTAACTGGCTCGTCAATTTTAATTCAACTTCGCGATATTGCGACATTATTCGGCAATAGCCACGCGTGCGCTGATGCAACCTCCATACCGTATGTACACGCTTGTGTATGTAGAAAAGCGAGTGTCATCCAATCAATCGGCGCTCAAATACCCATTCACTTTTTTCGTGATTGACTATTATGCGAAGAGTCTTGAGGCAAGCGACACACCCTCGTTAAGTACGACGCATAAATCTTAATAAGAAAATGAGCTGCGTAATATAAATTAATCGAATTTATATGTTTACGTTATTGTGTTTACAAAAATATTGATGAAATTGTAATTCATTTAAATACGATTTATAATAAGATAAAGGTACAGGATTGTTCTTTAAAAAATATTATTAGACAATTTGAGCTAATTTTAACAGCTTGAGTTCAATGGATTTTTTCAAAGTCATATTGAAGAGATTTTCATGCAACGATGGAAACATGTACACCACGTTCATAACTATAACATTGAACATATTTTGACTTAAACAATTAAGTTAACTTTTTCTCTTACGGATTTATATATGAAGGTATTTGCCATCTAGTGGTGGAAGTTTAAAGGACGGTATTATCCTATTTATAAGGGTTGAAAACTGATCTAAATTTTTTGAAGCAATTAGTTTGACATACTTAAATCATTGTAAATGCACTTTATATTTTTAATATAATCGTAACAGAAAAATGATGAAAACAAGCCTACTTTATGGTGGTATATTCAAAACATTTTAAATTGTCTTTTTTCATTATTAATGTTAAGCATTTTTACTGGAGTTATTATAACTATTAATTTCATAAAATATTTACCAAAAAACGCATCGTTTTAGATCACTACGAAGATTCTGCAATGTTTTTAAACACAAAATAATTAGCCTTAGGTGACTTCTCAGTAAGTAGTTAAGCCTATACAAATAAAAGTATAATGTTAAAATTGAATGATTCAATAAAATGTATTATTAAAAACTGATGGCTATTTACTGAACCAGGATCGTACTTGACTAGTGACAGTGAGGGAAGCTCGCGAGAGACTCTTCCTTCGGCAGACGCAACTTGATCTTTATACCTTGTTGGCTTATACACGTGTGAGCATTTGTCCATAAAACTTATAGCTATTGCATAATCCGTGAAAGTTTATGTATTTTGAGTTTCAATGAACGGGTATCTTACCTTATTAAACAAATGTATATTTCTCGTTCTCCCCTCGGTAAGAATGGTGGGGATGCGATCCTACGCATTCGCTTTTTTGATTTAAAAAAATTTTTTTCTGGATCCTTTTCGAATCAACGGACTAGTCACAATCGATGGAATTACCTGAATTTTGTATAAATTTTGAAATCATAAAGATTATTTCTTCTTATAGAGACTTCAAAATGATTTTTATTTCATTTATATTACAAGGAAGTATTCGAAAAAAATAAGAATAAAATTAATTTAGCTAGGAGCTATTACAGCGTTTACTACTTATGCATGCCTTTTTTCCTCAATTCTTGAGTTCCAGAATTATTTCGATTGATTCAAATGATATGAAATCTTGTTTATTATTAATAGTTTTATAAAAATAAAATCATAATGGTCTTTAGTAGTTTAAATAATTCATTATCATGTGTGCTTCCGTTCAGCATTTTTATAGCAACTTGATTAACAAAATAATATTTTTTTACAGATGATTTATGATGATTATAAATTAAAACAAACCTCTTCGTTGATTTTATGATTGAGATAATAATTTTGAAAATTTTAAATAGAGTTTAAACTTTTAGAACTGTTTATGAGTGAGTTCAATGCATTTTACCGCTGATATAATTCAGGAAAAGATCTTAAAATTCGGCGTGTACCTTGACCTTATATCGAACTTTTATCTGCAGCAGCATCGTCAATTACGCGCAGTCGCTAACTCGTTCGAAACCTGTTACGGCGACATTGACTTACTTTTACCCTCGATTTATCGTGACAATCCGCAAATTAAAGCGATTGCCAATAAAGTTTCGGGTATACGTACCTGCGCGCACCGAATAGACACCTGCTGCTGCACGACACTCACACACTCACGAAAGCGAGTTCGAATATAACTCGAATGCGCTACAAGAAACGATGCGAGTTTAACCCGAGTTCATCGTGCAAATATGTTGTAATCGTATACAACTGCACGACCCCGCGACGAGCTCGAATAACTGCAATACGAGCTGCGAGCACGGGTACATATCTTTCTCTCCGATAACATTGGGTGATCCTGTGCATTTATACTACACTTCGGGAATCGAATTGAACTCGTATGTGTGTGTATTGACTGTGCAAACATTTTCGTGTGGCTTGTATGCACTCGAGGTCCTTGTACACGAGGATTCGTGCAATCATTGTGCATCGAAGCGCACGTAAGTATTTATGCCTCACGCGATGCTTAAAAATAATTATAATATTACGCAAAACTTAGCGAAGTAACCTTTTTTTATTTATAATGGATTAAATTTCGGTAAATTATGATTAAAATAAATATTTGATCATAATGCAGTTTTTTATCTCCATTGTTAATCTATGGATTTGATCGTAATTTGGATTTCAATATTTCAGTGCTGTTTAAACAGAAGATCCTACGAGATCGAAGAGTCGTCTTGCCACACGGATCTCAACATAGTAGAGAACTACCTTAGCAGAGGATGTGTCTATCAGTCGGTAACTTTCCATACCACCATACAATGGTGTTTTTTCTTGAGTACAGAAAATTACTAACTATATCGTGCATCGGTTAACAACCATCATGTTCACTTAAACGATAATATTCAACATTTCAACGTTCATCGGCAGAGGTCATCACATATTGTAATTCATCGTAAAATTATTATTGTAGACATAAAAATTATCAAGCATAATTAGTAACTGCCCGGACAACTCAAAGATAGAATGTGAAGCCCGATGACAGAATTCATGAGAATTTTCTTCACTTTAATTTTTATTTGAAAATATCCTGACAAAGTTTTTCCTGGATAAAAAATAAAACGGATTAAAATGTTTTGTAATATACAGCCATTCACTAACTTGTTCTTTACGATTAAATGGTTTCAAAAAATGTAGAACAGTTTTCAATGCCACTTTAAGCCTCTATCGCCAGATGGCGAGCACCTTTTATCGGTAAATCTGCAAGTGTCAAAGGAAACATAATTGTATAAGTCAAAGCACGACTCGATTTGAAATAGCTATAAATGTCAAATAGTTATCCTCAATATTTTATCATTTGAATTTTTAAAATGATTGAAAATAACGATCACCTGATTATTTAATAAAAATTATAAAACCCTTCCGATTTACCACTAACAGCAGAGTACTAATTTTCGTATACCTACCTATCGAATGAAAAATATTTTTGTAAAGTAAAAACGCCGAAAAAAAAATGTATACACGCGCATCGTGCATCAGACGCTCTCTACGTGTATCCAGATGCGCGTCCTTAACGAGTCAAAGCGATCCTCGTGTAACGCGCGTATTTATTTCGAAAAATTTTCCGCGCCGCTCGCGCGCGCAGGAAAGTTCGGCAAACAAATTTCAAGTATTTCTGCCGGTGGCTCTTCAACAAACAAAAGAGTCGTCCTCCTCTCTTTTGTGTGTGTGTACAAAACGACTTAAATTCTCCAAAAATTGAGCGCGCGAGCACATAATCACGATGTAGCTCGGCGCGCGAGCGCCTATTGCTCATCTCTCTCTTGAACGGCCTTTCAAAATTCCATCTTCTCTCTGTCTCTCTCTCTCGCTTTTACTCTCTTTTGCGCTCTGAGCGCTCGCAAAAGATCACAAAGCACTCAGCAAGTACATACACTCACACACACACACGTACAGACTAACACACTCGCGAACGTACAGGTGCAGGGGGGCAATTGAAAGTTGAAACTTTGCCAAACGCCTTATCTATATATTCCGCGCCTCCGTACACCGATGCACTTAGACACACACACAGACACAGACAATAATTCTGCCATGCACTCTCTCTGTAAACCAACGTTCTAATAACGTATTAATGCGCTTCACGTAACAGAAAGCGCCCTTAAATCTCGCGCGCGAATGCGCCGAAGAAGGAGGAGCTGATGCCGCAGTTGCAGCAGCGATGCACATGCACAGACACACATCCCACAAAGTATTTTTTTTCTTTTTCTTTTTTTTTACTCCGAGCCGTCTAACAAAAGAACGATGCATGTGTGTGTGTGTGTGTCGGTGCATACACTCGACTGGCAAGTGTCTACAGTTTTCTCCATTAAGCGCGGGGAAAGCAAAACTGAAATTCTCAATTTACTTTTATTTTTTTTGCAAAACCTTTCGATGAAATTTGTCCAGCGAATCTCGGACCGATTTCAATTACCTCTACGGGGCTCTCGTGGATCTCTCTAATACTCGAGTTTATAGTCGCAGTCCTTTCTACATGTACACACACACACACACACACACACACATATTTTTCATGCTCCACAAGCGATGCACGTCAGATCTTATTTGCATCTCTCGAGGTGAATGAGATAATTAACGCCACTTATGCTTACTGTTACAATAGCGGCGAGTTTTTAATCCCCACAGGCGCAAGTAGTAGACACTTTGCAAATTCATATGCGCACACACATATAAATAAAGTGGCATTTGCGCCGAGGCGAGCTCATGGAAATTTTATTTCTGGTAGTAGTTGCAAAAAATTTTTCGTATAATCTTTCTTGATCGTTTAACAAGTAGTTTCGCGCGCCTGCAACAACGTTAATGCCTGCCACATAGAGAGAGAGAGAGATATTTAGATATATCGCAACGAAGAATCCACTCCGCCTGTATAATATGTACTAATAAATGACTTCTCCGGTGCATCGCTGCCAGTAGTTTGCCTTATAATATATATGCTTTTTGATGCAATGCCATATACATACACACTCACACACTCGTTGCGATGAAAAATTTTTAAACGTCGTATAAACTTTCGTAACTATCCATCCAGTAGGAAAAGTATCAAATTCAACGAGGCTAGCCAGCTGCCGGTTTTATTGATTCCAAAGGTCAGAGGCATCAAGGATCGTTCTCGGCGCAGCTCGGCTATTCATAATAATAATCATAATAGTAGTAAAGACACTTTGCGAGCGTACGGAGAGAAAAAAACTGATGTAACTGAAATTAAAAAGATAGGCTCGCGCGCATAATCGATTAGTAATGCTATATAAACGTTTTTCATATAAATCGCGAGAGGCGACACGCGTAAGACCATAAGGAGCTACTCTACGCGCGGCGGATTTAATTTAGAAATCACACACGGACGCATAGACGTGAGTCATAAGATCGAGCGATGAAAAAAACGCCTTGCAATGTTATGACTCTTCTCTCTATGCGCCTCGAATCGGATTGTGCGATGAGCAGCAGCACCCGGATGACGACGTCTATTTTTCGAATTTTCAGCACCGCCCGAAGCAGCAGCAGCACCTCACCCGATGTACGAAAATTACAACACCCGCGGTTATCAAAGTCCGCGCGCCCATCTCTCCGCGGGCCGCATGCGCGGTGCAGTGCGATTTATTACGTGGGTAGGGGCGATCGTGTGTTGCATCGAATTATAAGATCGAAGTAGGGAGGGATTTGCCATTTTTATTCATTTTTTTTTCTTCTCGCTTTGAATGAAAAAAAAGAACCTTTCGAATCTTGTTTCTGAAACTAATGCGACTCCGCGTTGACAAGTATTTCGATAAAATGTATGTTCCGCGAGATCGATCACCGACGCGTACGCTGTATGCTGTATGGTCTGCAGAGTATTACACAGCGATCAGTGTCTCTTTCTGCCGCATTATTAATGTGGCAATGAATTATATTTTATTACCTAACGAATATAAAGATCTTATTAAAATTTGTGTCAAGTATGCTGCTATATATGTATATAGCTCTGGCTCTCTATGGCTAGTCTGTGTGTGTGTGCATTTTGAAAGATATTATACCTTTTGGAATTATAAGAAATTCCTTATCCCCCATTTTTGCAAAATTATTGCGAGCTTATTAAATATTTCTTTCTCGCTCTGCAGCGAGCACACGTGTATTTCGATATATATTGCTTCATTTTCGTAGAGTCTAGCTCTCGTAGTCGCTCGCGCGCGAGCAGATTAATTGAATTCGTCAAAACTGTCATACTCAGAGATTATGATTAAACTTCCTGAAGTGCATTTTCAGCGACAGACAACTTATCGAAACGATTCGCGAGCGTAAATATAAATTTTTGAGGTACCTCGCGCGCGTGGATGATCTTTTCGCCCGGGCGCACGTACGAAACAATGGGATTGAGTTCAATTTCGCAAAATCTTCGTCAATGTCGCTATCGTTTCCAAGTGGTGCAGCAGCGGCGGCGATCGATCGATCGTGCAATCAATTCGATGTATACGACTCACACACTTGCCTATATATATACCACCACCAGCTACTCTCTGTAATCTACCCTTCGTCCTCCCTTTTTTTCCATTTTATTCTCACTCTGCTTTTCTCGGTATTAGAATTTCACCCGGTTTTTCGCACTATATTATATACAAATGTATATAGATCCGTATACGTATGTGCGAGTAACTCCGAAGCTCGGGAAAACGAGTAGGAAAAGCTGCGCCAGCCGCAGCCACCCTCTCGCCACCCCCGTGTGTCTCTATACCCGGCAGCTTCCTCGCAGGACCCGATCAGAGCCGAAAACTATATATATGTATATATGTGTAGGATCGAAAATACGTGCGGCAGAGTCCGAGTGAAACTTAAAATTGGATTTCGATCGTGCTCGCGTGCGGCCAGGCAACTCCCCGAGTCAGAGCTACAGAGAGAGAGAGAGAGAGAAAAAATAGCCGAAGCGATAGCAGATCGTGAAAAAAGCTACCCTGGCTTCTATACTCTTTTTGAAAAATCGCCCAGTGAACTGTTTTTCTGCTGCATCAAAGACAGAGGCAGAGAGAGAGAGAGAAAGAGATCCGAAAAATTTTCAGCTGATTTATCGCTCGCCCGAGAAAGAAGAAGACGCGCACCGGGAGTTTATCTATATCTTCCATATAGTGAATTTTCCGGGACGAAATTAAAATCAGAAGTATAAAGTACCGGCTGCAGCGTCTTGATTCAACGTCGTGCCGCGTGCGTAATTTTCATGCAGTTTTTTCAATCGAGGCAGTCAGAAATTGCATCGTCCAGCTTTGCATTATAAATTATTCAAAACTCACGCATCTTTTAATATTTTGTAACACCATCGTGTCTCTCTCTCTCTCTCTCGACTCCCCCCGTTCGAATCAAGTTTGAGGAGAAGACTAGCGAGAGAGTTACATGTGTTATTTTTATTAATGCAGATATTTCTCTCTCTCTCTACGTGCAAAATTAGTTTCTTTCGCTCTCGTCGTGCGCGTCGCATATATATGAGTCATCGTCGAAGGATTTCAGTATTTGAATATCTTATAATACGTATATCGAATGAAAAAAAAAAAAATATTATTGCGCGCCTGTTGTAAAGTAGTATTGCATCTTCGGAATATCTTTGCATTGTCTCGCAGTTTTGTTTATATACACACGCTTGCACTTGTACACGAACGAACGAACGAACCAAGCCCCCCAGTTTATGAAGTTATATCGTTCGTATATACGAATTATACGTGTGTGTATATAATAATTCCGATAAAATCGGTTAAGCATCGTATCAGCTGTTCTCTCTCTCGTCAATATAATCACCGTTGCGAATGTGTCTATGTCTGTATGTCTGTTACATGGCAATCGAGATTGATAATCTAAATTTCATGCTTTACAATGAGAGTGAGAGAATGGAAGCGTTGTCAAGTCTCTCTCTCACAATCAGACACCATCTCTCGAAACAAAACAAGCGTACTAGTACTAGTAGTAGTAGTAGTTGCATGAAAAAGAACGAAGGAGAAAAAAAAAACCTAATTCAGAGATGAGGCGCGAGCGAGCATTAGAGGCGGCGCGGCGCGGCGTATTGCGTCCGCGTGCAACCCGTAAGGAAGATTCGCCTCGTGGTCTGGCGAAACGCGCTGTATAACACACACTTGCATAGCTTACATACACGAGAAGTGCATCAGTGCAGTGTGCCGCAGCCGCCGCCGCCGCCGGTGCATAGACATGCAAAAGAAGAACAGGGCAGGGATGACCCCTTTCACTGCTGCTGCAGCAGCACACATACATAGATATACATACGTACGGAACGGCGCGCCGTGCCGGGACTAGCCTACCTATATACCATCCGCGAGACGCTGCCGCTGCCACCGCTGCCGCTGCCTGTCTGCCTGTATATATAAAAGGAGCTCTCGGCTCCGACTCTCGTGAGAGAAGTGCATCTGCATCGCTGACTTTTAGATCGCAGCGGCGCGCACCACACAGACACGCCGTTTTTATATTATTATACCGAGATTTTTAAAAGTTTTGGGCCAACCCGGGGCTTTTGACAAGATATTTCTTTGTATCCCGTATAGTAGCGGACAGTTTTGTGTGCCATCGGCTCTGTCGTCATCATGTTGAACGCTAAGGTCAGTTGAAAAAAAAAAACACACAAACATTGTCATTTAATCGAGCGTGCGAGGATCCTGAAATTTTCAGTCGATTTCAAATTATGTTTTTTTTTGGGAACACGAACGAGAATGGGAAAATCTAACACGCAATTATTTTTTTCGAGTTTTAAATTATATGAATACGTAGGGGAAACAACAACACTGTCATTTCGCGCGCATAATTTATATAATAATAATTGCGCGCTCTGTTCATTGAAATTCAAATTCGGGCCCATATGCATCTTCGTCGTTCGAGCGCATATTAATAACAAATATTCAAATTTATGGAAAATTCGCTCATTCGGCGGGGGGTAATATCGTCGGATAATATAGCATCTATCCGCGATACATAATATAATGGGCGACGAATCGCTGCAAAAAATTCTCAGCTATTATTTATTTATTTTTTTTTTTGTTTTTACGTAATTCTCGCGTGCTGCCGCCGAGCTCGCTCATGCGTGTACATGAAAAATGTACATATAATACGGAATAATAATCTCTGCGTTTAAACTTGGCGCGAGGATGTAGTCTTTTTTTTTTGCTTTTAAAGAGGATGATAAAATTTTACGAAGTAAAACGAGGCAAGAAGAAGAAGAGACAGGGGGGGTTAACTTATTAAACTGCAACAATTGATAGGTCGCGCAAGTGCGCGAGAGAGTAGCACACGAGTGGGTGTATGCGTATGTATGCAGTGCAAAACTACCGTAAAGCTTAGGTGTACCCTCAGGGTTTGAGACACGAGCTGTGTAATACCTATACACGTATATATAGAAGAGAGAGAAAACTCGGGTGGGTGGATGGTTGGCTTTGCACCTACATATATATAGAGCCACCCAACACCGGTTGGAGAAAACTCTTGGGTGCATTAGCTCGAGAACACGGTATATAGCCCACCCGAGAACGAGATTCGTTCTCAGCTCTCCCCCTTTCTTTTTTATATCTTCATCTTTTCTCTCTCTCTCTTACTTTTTTTTTTGCTTTGTTTTTCCGTTTTGTTTCTCTGTACTCCGCGCACACATACACCCACTTTCTTTACGATTACTATTTATTATGCCAAGTACCTCCTTTTGCCTTACATATATATACACTCAGCAGCCCCGGTTTATATAGCTACAGACGTGCAGCAGCAGTAGCAGCAGCAACGTCAGACAACTAGGCTATTTCAGCGCGGAGTAGATACGTCTGAAACGCGTAGTATAACGTTAACTCGCGAGGCCGAGCCAACGGGGGGTTCTGTTCTTGAAGCGTGTATTAACGCAGCAGCCGTAATTTCGAGGGCTGCTGCTGCTGCTGCTGAAAACGTTCTCTCGTACGTACTCTCGTGGCTGGTTCTCTCGATGCTGCTGCTGCTGCTGCTCAGACGCGTTGGGAGATTTTTTTTTTCATCTTTTTAATTTTCCCGTGTTTTCTTTTTTCGGCTTGCTGTACTCAGGCTCGCGGTAATTCGGTAGTACACTGGCGCAGTAGTAGAGTTCGTTTCTGGTTTCGAGGGCGCTCGCGATATTCGACTCAATTTATGCAAAATGTGATTAGCGCGGCTTAAAAACAAAACGAAGTTGTATTATTATGGCAACGGTGTTGCAGACGCGGACGCGGCGAAAAAAAAAATTATTATTTTTCCTCGTGTCTTGAAATATTCTACACAAGGACGGACTACTTAATACAAACATAAACAAATGTTAATTTTTTCTCCCTCCATTCGATCGCTCATCTTCTTCTTTTTTTGCGGTATTAAACTTTTTTGCCAACTGTAATAACGCGGGATGGTATTTAACATTTTCAGCATCGCGATAATTCTGGAATATGATCGATGAGCAATAATGTATAATTACGCGATTAAATTTATAATCGTTGCATAACGAACTTTTCAAACTCTTGACTAGCTGCGGAGCTTGCCTTAAAAATACCTCGTGTGTGTACAAACCAGTCAGTCAGTCTCTTGGTGTGTGACACACATATCCAGTGACGAGTTGTTAGTGTTTTTTTTTTTTTTTATTTTTCTCTTTTTTCTAACTTTTCAAAACATAATACGATTATAAAGGATATTTCATTGAATGAAGAATTAGCGATCGCTGCGCGCGTTATTGCCGTAATATCGGGTCGATATGCAATTTCATACACGTCCGCAGCGAGAGAGAAAAATTACACCATCCTCCGTACACGATATAATATACACTACTTATTTCTTTTTTATTAGTAAACGTACTCTCTCGATGCGGGAGGTTTATACGGCCACTCAAACTCGATTGTGCGTCGCATACAAATCCGTATCTAAGCCCTTTTCCAACTTATAACTCTCGGTTTATACGTTACTACTACTACGCGGCTAGCAGAGAGAGGAGAGTGCCCTAATCTCTGAACCTTATCACTCGAACTTTATGTACCTCTATATGTGTGTATGTGTGCGTGTGTGCCTCGAGATCCTCCTCTCGGTCTGGCTCATCTCCGCGGGGAGAAATAAATATTCGCCAACCCTCCTGGTGCTGTGCTGCGGATGCTTTAAGCGCTGCAGAGCTTGGCAGCGTCGTTTTGCTCGACCGCGACGGTGTGGCCGTATTATAACGATCGCCCGGGATGATCCAGACGAGCGAATTTTTTCACTCGTTTGGCTTTTTACATCGACTATTTTTACCCTGTAAAATCGCGTTACATCATTTAACTCGCAGATACACATATTCCGTCGCTCGTGTGCATATACAGCTTTCGATAATATCGGCAACAGATATCATTAACATGTATTACGCTACAATGGATTGCGTCGAGAGTAGTCTATGTGCCGCCGCATGTACATATATATACAAACATAACTCGACTCTTTCTCTCAACCTGCATACGCACACACTGGCAATATTTCATCGAATATTTCGTCACTTTGTGTGTATACATACTATTGTTCGCATTAGTTTATACCGTGCGCCACGAGAGAGAGAGAGAGAGATACTCTTTTGCAGGCTATAATGCATGTATCCCGCCGAAAAATAGGCGTGCGGCGCCGCGTTTACTTTAATATTTCGTTATCGCGCGATGCGCATCTCACGTGTTCCATTCGGTAATAATCTTTCTTCACGCCCGGAGGGTAGATCAAAGCGCAGCGCCGCGACTCCGACTTGTATGCTACATAATGTAAAACTCACATTATGTACGTATGTGTGTGTAAGAAGAGGTAAAGCCAAGTCGTTGGCGCTGTCGTAATAGGCAGAATTAAAACGTTTTTATATCGCGCACTAAAACATATGTAATTACACACCTAATATAATTGCAGACGACCTCTCCATTTATCTAGTTGCCTCGTACAACATGATGTATCTTTCCAATCGATGCGTGTATATACTCATAGCGTAGTTGGTAGTAGTGATGTATACATTTGCGAAATTCATTTTTTTGGGGCTTGGAAAAAAGGTCGTCGCGTCGTCGTAGTAATGAGAGGAGAACGCTGTACTCGTATTTGCGCGCGCGGCACATCGAGTGAAAGTATATAATAGTAATAGCTCCTGCTGCTGCTGCGACACTCGTGGTACACTACGCGAGCGGGGGCGCTAATTACAGTTCACCCGCATGAATGCCATTATACGGGCGTGGTGGTGTACATAAGAATAACTGGTTACCTATATATATATGATCTCCCTCTTTGTAGTGTAATAGAACTCGACCTATATCGATTTTTCGACTGCTGCTGCAACGCGACAAAAAAAGAAAGGGACGAAAAAGGACGGCGATTAAATGCATCGCTTTATCGAGGCGGGTGGAGAGCTTAAATAATTTATAGTATTAGCCCGGAGGTGCGAGAAGTGAGGGTGAGAGCTTGCAGGGCGTGATTTGCTCGAGTTTTTCGGCGGCGGCGGTGGCGCATATAATTGTGGTTCGCGATCATAGGGGCAAAATAATGTAAAGCCTCCCGGCGGCGCGCGCGATTCCCAATTGTAATTCACTCGCTTTTAATTAGCAATTACACCGGCTTCTCTCACTCTCTCTCTAGCGCGCTCGACTGCATTACTCGATTTTATTCATCCAGCTTTAATTTCGAACGCGCGCGCGAGCACAAGTCCGATATTTAGTTACGAAAGTTTTCCAGTTAAATAATCCCGGGGCAAAAAGTTTACCGATAAATAGCTTTGCTTCTTTCTCTCCCTCTCTGGCTCTATACCTTTCTCGCCCATGGAGTGAATGTGAAACATCATGAAAAATGAATCATTATACTAGTAACAAGAATATCGTAGCTTATACCGATAAAAACTTTTTTGTATATATATAGTATACGAACGCGACTACTTGCGAAGCGAATTTATACACTTGTAGCAGCTAGTGCAACTCGTGCTCCATAACGAAGCCGATATGAAGCCGCGAGTTATCATTATTCCCTCGCATCGATGAGCGAATCGTAATTATAGACGAGAGCGAGGCTCTTTGGAAAAAAAGACTTTAGCATTCGAATCGCATCTTTTGAGATCTCGCGGGTAAATATATAAAAATCCCATTACGCGTCGATGTTAAACGTTATGTATCGAGAGAGGTGTCGTGTGCGCGATGCCACACCGAGAGAGAGAGGAGAGCTTTGTACGCGTCTCGTCTATCGCGCGCGCGAAACGCGATATCCATCTCTCGCGATCGGCGCGCAATAATAGGCAAGGCCGTATGGCAAATCTCTGCCGTGTGTGTGTGTGTGTGTGTGTGTGTGTGTGTGTGTGTGTGTGTGTGTCTGTGTGACTCAATAGTAGCGATTATTTCATACGTATATTGTTGTGTCGTTGTTAATGCGGCTGTCATTGCACAAAAAATTAAAATACATCTATAATACTTCCGACGAGTTCTGCGATATTTTTTTTTTTTTTTTCACGCAGATATAAGTCATATGTGTACATGGCTGATTGCTATGCGATGATAATCTGCTCGTCCGGCGGATTTTTTTTGCTCGCTCTCAAAGTCAACTGGTTTTTATAAACAATGTTTGAAGAATAATACGATTTTATGGATTCAATTAA